AAGATGTTACTAAGGTCCCCTTAGATGCTTGGGGACCCATAGGTAATGGGTTGAGTGCCTTATTAGTGGGACGTTCAAGCAGTACTCTAATGGGACTTATTGTTAACGTGGGAGTGATTGATGCTGACTATACAGGACAGATTTCTACCATGGTTTCTACTATGTATCCTCCAGTCCAAATACTTAAAGGGACTCGAATAGCTCAACTTGTACCTTTTGTGAGTTGTGTTCCAAATACAGAACTACGTGAGCAACGAGAAAGAAGTTTCGGTTCTACTGGTACACCGCAGGTTTTTTGGTCTCAACCGATCTCCACGCACTGACCACAAATGACCTGCCATCTTCATTACACTCAAGGATCACCTCACAGCATTTCCTTGACTGGACTGCTGGACACCAGGGCTGATGTAACCATCACTGCATGCGCTGCCTGGCCTGCTTCATGGTCGGTAGCTCCGGTAACCACTGGAGTTGTGGGATTGGGTGGAACTACTCAGAGTTACATTTCAAGTGATCCCATACTTATTGTGAACCCTGAGGGTCAATCAGCCACCGTTAGACCATATATAACTGTGGTTCCCTTGACACTATAGGGACGGGACTGTCTTTCGCAATGGAGGGTAAAAATCACAATGGATTTTTAACAGGGGCCACTGCATTTCAGGGTGTTACACAACCCACTGTTACCTTATCTTGGCTCACAGACACTCCTGCGTGGGTTGACCAGTGGTCCCTTCCCAAAGAAAAGTTGCTAACCCTGTAGCACCTTGTAAAAGAACAACTGGATGCTGACCACATTGAACCCTCTTTAAGCCCGTGGAATACCCCTGTCTTTGTCATCAAAAAGAAGTCAGGGAAATGGCCCCTACTCCATGACCTTAGACAGGTCAATGCGGTCATGGCTCCTATGGAAACGTTGCAACCAGGTCTACCATCTCCTTCGATGTTGCCTGTTGGTTGGTCCATTATTGTTATTGATCTAAAAGATTGTTTTTTTACCATCTCATTAGATCCCAAAGATAAAGAAAAATTTGCATTTGCTGTCCCCTCAGTGAACCATGCAGAACCCACCAAACGATTCCAGTGGAAAGTTCTTCCCCAAGGAATGAAAAATTCCCCCACCATTTGTCAGTGATTTGTTGCTTTGGCACTGTCTCCAATTCGTGAAAAATTTTTAAACTGTTATTGTTATCATTACATGGATGACATTTTGCTTGCAGCAGCAACTGAGCAACTGAGTGAGCTTGAAAAAGAGACAAAGAAACAGCTACAGACATTTGACCTACAAATTACTCCTGAAAAGGTACAACACGAACACCCTTGGAAGTATCTTGGGACGCAAGTTACCCAGGACACTGTGGTTCCCCAACCAATTCAATTGACTGTTGAAATTAAGACTCTCACGGATGTACAAAAATTAGTGGGGTCTATAAATTGGATCAGACCCTATCTGGGGTTAACGAACACTCAATTGGCACCTTTATTTGAGTTGCTTAGGCATTCCACTAATCCTCACGAACCTAGACATTTGACAAAAGCAGCAACTCAAACTCTCCAGCAGGTAGAACAAACCCTACACTCTAAATTCATTTCTCAAATTGATCCCGGACAAGAAGTTCAACTTTTTATTCTGATAGACCACCTTGTTCCTTTTGGAGTTTTAGTCCAGTGGTGTAACGAATGGTCTGATCCTTTGCACATCTTGGAATGGCTGTTTTTGCCCTATAAGTCTCGTAAGACTTCCCCTGGACTGTTTGAGTTGTTAGCTGACCTAGTCATCAAAGCTAGAAAACTCTGTGTAGAGTGTATGGGTACGGAACCTGCTCGTGTGGTTGTTCCGGTGCAATCCTATTATTTCGAATGGTGTCTGGCAAACAAATATGAACTGGTCAAGTTTCTTATCATTTACCTTCCCATCCATTGTTCAAATTTTTTAGAGAAGTGCCAGTGGGCCGCAAATTACTGCGCAGTTCTGTACCCTTAGATGGACTTATTGTCTTTACTGATGGCTCTGGGAAAACAGGGAAAGTTGCAGTCGTGTGGCAATCCACAGATGGATGGCAACAAAAGGTTACTTCTCAGGAGGGATCTCCTCAAGTGGTGGAACTTTGAACGGTAACCTTGACTTTCCAATTGTTTCCTGACCAACCGTTGAATGTTGTTACTGATTCTGTTTACATAGTTAATTTGCTACAACAATTTGATCATACTGTGTTGTATTCTCAATCTTTTACTTTAGTTTTTCAGGTGTTACTGGAACTTTGGAGAACTCTGTTGCAAAGAACTGTTCCTTACTTTATTTTGCATGTATGTAGTCATACCTCATTACCTGGGTTTTTCACTGAAGGTAATGCCAGGGTGGACGCCCTAGTTTCTACTGTTGCCTTGGGACCGTTTCCTAACACTCATCAACAAGCGGTGTTATCACATCAGTTTTTCCATCAAGGAGCAGAAACACTCCACCGTCAGTTTGGACTGACCCATTCTGCAGCTCACTCAATTGTTTCCGCTTGTCCAGATTGTCACCATGCTCATACTCCTGTGTATTTCGGAACTAACCCCCGAGGTCTTAAAGTCCTGCAAATTTGGTGAACTGATGTTAAACATGTGGCTGAATTTGGTAATTTGAAATATGTTCATGTTTCAGTTGACACCTTTTCTCACGTGGTTGTCGCTACTGTGCATACTGGTGAAAAAAGTTGAGATGTTGTAAAACACTTCCAACGTGCCTTTGCTACATTTGGGGTGCCGAACCAGGTAAAGACTGACTTGCCCCTCTTATGTGAGCAAAGCGGTGCACACCTTTTTCATACTATGGGGTGTCACTCGTAACAGGAATACCCCATTCCTCTACAGGACAAGCTATTGTTGAATGCATGCATGGCACTCTGAAGCAGTTACTTTAAAAACAAAAAGGAGTAATGCAGGGTCAACCCCCTCAGGTACGCTTAGACAAAACCACGTATGTGTTGAACTTCTTAACCTTCCCTGGTTCCTCTTCTTCTTCACCTGCCTTTTTGCATTTCTCCTCTCTTTTTTCAGTGCAGTCGGTGACTGGTAAGGCCCCCGTACAGATTTGGGATCTTGTTTCTGGTCAGTGGTCTGGTCCACATGAGTTAATAACTTGGGGGAGGGGTTATGCTTGTGTTTCTACAGATCATGACCCTCGATGGATTCCTGCGGGGTGTGTATGTCCTATCTTGGATACTGTTAAATGTAACTAGGTGGACTGTCCCCCAGACAAAACAGAACGTGTGGGTGATGCTGGAGAACATGATGCACCAGGACACCCTCTACCTTTCTGTGGCAAACCCTGAGAATCCTTTTTCTACCTGCCTGGTGGGACTTCCTTTAGATACCTGGCCTTGCCTGAGAGGCACAGGACCCTGTAACAGTTCTGCACCAAAGAAAAATGTTGATCACTGGGATAGAATCTATGCACACTTTACACAAGTTACACAAGAACCTCAAGAACTAGAATTGTTAGGATCAGTAGTGATGGATGCTTGCAATATGTTTAATTATACTTATAATATGACTAGAAAAGGACAGAACGTTAATGCCACATTGCCTGTATATAGAAATGCCACTGCTTGGTGTAATTACACTTCTAGTCATATTTCACAATCTTTTAATGTGTCTGTCGCTTTACCTTCTGGGGTTTTTTTTATTTGTGGGGACAGAGCTTGGGGTGGCCTTCCATCGAAGCTTAATGGTGGACCATGTAGCTTGGGGAAACTTACTCTGCTAATTCCTAATCTGACCATGATTTACAATAAAAGGAGAGAAAAACGCAATATTCATCAATTTAGGAACCAGTGTGATGACCGGGTAACCTATTGGGGACCTGGAGAAATCATTGCAACATCAGCATTGGCACCTGGTGTTGCTGCAGTGGTAGCTTTGAAAAAGCTGACGGATTTAGGATGTTGGTTGAGCAAGCAAACCAACGCTACTTCTATCTCTTTGAGTGGTTTATTAAATGATGTTGATAGTATTAGACATGCCACACTGCAGAACAGGGCCGCAATAGACTTTCTATTGTTAGCACAAGGACACGGATGCCAAAATTTCGATGGAATGTGTTGTATGAATTTGTCCTACCATAGTGAGTCAATTCATGCTAACATTCAAAAATTAAAAGCAGGCATCAAAAAATTACAGGTTGATGATGGTTGGGACTGGCTGCATAATCTGTTTACTAGGTGGGGACTATCAGGATGGCTTTTGTCTATTATCAAAACAGGGTTGCTTGTGTTGTTTATTATTGTAGTTGTGCTACTAATGTTGCCATGTTTGGTGTTGTGTTTGCAAAGGGCCCTACAAAGGACGACCCAGGCGATTTTCCTAGCACAAATACAAAAAGGGGGAATTGTCAGGGTAGGCGGTGGGTCTACCGTACCCCTGTTAAGGGATGTAGAGGAAGAGGATTTTGATTTAGACACCCTAAGGCCTTTCCCCTGAAGAAAAGCAGGGGCCATGGAGATCTTGGAAAAAGGTGCCAGTCCTGACCATGGGAGAAGGAATGTAAACAATAAGGAAACAACCAATTGTATGTGAGAAGTGCTAACAACTTAGAGATAAGAAACTAAAGATAGAAAGGCATGCAAGGCTCTGTGTTCAGTGTGTATGCGTGTGTGTGAGAAACAGTAGTTTTTAAGGTGTATAGAGGAGCAATAAATGTTGTATATGGAATCATCATCATAGGGTGCCCAGTTTTTATTTTTATGGTCGTCCTCTAAAATGACAATATGTTATCAATTTCTTGAATAGATTAGAACAAGACACATCTCCCATAGAAAGACACTTTAAAGCATACCGAACTCAAGTCAGTAACGATGTCAGGGTTATTTATAAAGATGTTATAACAGGTGAATGGATTGGTCCTGTGTCCCAGTTTAAATGAGACAAAGGTCCTTTGCTGAGGATGGATTAGGAGGAAAAGACCCAGACTTCTCTTTCTAAGCAATTATAAATCCAAAATTAAGAGGCTCCGATTGAAGGAAAACAAATTATGGAAAAGGGAAAAAAACAACCCTTTATTAAAAGGTATGTATTAGCAGGAACACGAAAAAACAAATAAAACAACCAAGCAATACTCCTATACCCACCAATAATCCCCTTCAAGAACAAAACTGATAAACTGGCAAAAGGAAAATTAAACAGTTCAATTTTTTCACCCTTTGATGCAGTTCCAACCACAGTCAACAGGGGACGCCGTCGGGTCACTGGAGATGCAAAATTTGTAATGTCCTGTATCATTCACCAGGTGGCGCTGTTGGGTCACTGGAGGTGCATGACTTGTAGTGTCCTATTGTAGTCACCAGGTGGCGCTGTTGGATCACTGGAGGAGTAGAACTTGTAATGTCCAGTGCCCGTCACCAGGTGGCGCTGTGGGATCCCTAGTCACCGCCCCGTGGGATGGGGGAAAAAAAACCAAACAATACTCTCCAGGTATGTCAGAGGGAGGGAAAAAAAAAAACCAAACCAAACCCCAAAAAAACCCTCGGTTCCCCTTCCCTTCTCACACTGGGAGAGAGGGAATGGGGGGGGGGGGAAGGGGGAAGGAAAAAAAACCCCAGTAATAAAACAGAAAGTTCTCCCAATGGAAGAAAACTCACAATCTCCGACTAATTAGAATCCACCTCAGGCAAAAAAACCCTGCAACTGGCAAGGGTTCAGGGCAAAAAGAGACAGCCGCGAGCTTCTCCGACGATGAAGTGTTTCGTCCCAACCACAGCCACACCGTAGCCTCCCCCCAACTCCTCCCACCTCGTTGCCCAGGAGACAAGAGAAAAAAGTAAAGTGCAAGTCCTTATCTGCCTTGTTCCCTAGGAAACTAATGTCCGGCCATCAGCCATGAGGCTAGGTCTTTTGTATTCTGAAGTGCTTATCTTGATAACCAGGGGGGAAGGGAGAAAATTCTTCACTTGGTTGAGGGAGCTGGGGTTGTTTAGCCTGAACTGAACTTTTTGATTGGTTTTTTTGTCTGGAAATTACCCGGACAAAACCATCCTCAGCCCCAGGCATGGGCTGGTGGGCAAAACCATGACAAAAGCTAAGCCCAGGAAGAATTAAGGGGTGGGAGGAAGGTGTTTTTAAGGTTTGGTTTTACTTCTCATGTAGGAGTAGTGCTTTCAGAAGAATTTGTAACAGGAAAGCTAGAAACTGTTTTCACTTAGGAAGGCTTTCTGCTCAAAAGGTAACTCTTTCTCAAAGGCAGTTTCAATGCTTTTCCCCCCTGCCGCATAGCAAGAGAAGTTCTCAGCCTACCTCTCTGATATGTGAGAGGAGCGAGATAATGCTTGCAGAAATGCTACAGGGCCATGGTGGCCTGGGGAGAGTCGGGGGGTCAGCAATGATGAGTGAACAGGATGTTTGTCTTTTTCTCCCTGGGACCTGGTGCTTAAACAGGACTGTCAGGTATTTGTAGGTTTCCTGTGTTCTGGTCTTCTAAATAAACTTTTGAATTCTTTCCACTACCTTGGCATTTCTGGGGATACCTGCATATCTTACTTTACACTCATTATCCTATTCTGATTTGATTGGTAATAAATTCAATTAATTTCCCCAAGTCGAGTCTGTTTTGCCTATGATGGCAATTGGTGACTGATCTCTCCCTGTCCTTATCTCAACCCATGAGTCTTTTGTTGTATTTTCTCTCCCCTGTCCAGTTGAGGAGGGGGAGCAATAGACTAGCTTTGGTGGGCACCTGGTATCCAGACAAGGTCTAACCACCACATCTGCAAGAAAAATGAATTATAAATGGTTTATTTGCAGAGGATATGGTGCATATCCTACTATTAAGTAGAATCCCATAACAGTCAGTCTCATAAGCCACGAAGAACACCTCTACCATCAAACTTCATTCCCCTCTGCATTCAGTAAAGTTTTAAACAGTTATAACATGATTAAAGTTAACACAACCTAAATATACTAATTAGCAAAGATTCTAACCAAAGCCACCAACTATGTTCTGTCTATCTATACTGATAGTAAAGCAGACTTAGTGGGACTGCTCTACTGATGTATTATAGTGGATCCAAGATTCCAGCTAACTATCCAAACTATAAGATCTAGGCAGTGGATGTGGATGCTCCAACTTCTAGATTTTCACCACGAGAAGAAGATGCATAGCACAAACACACGACCTTACTAGCCACCACTAGCTAAACATTGCTTCAGTAATTAAGCTCAAAAGCAGAGTTCAAAAACCTCCCAACCCTGGGAAGGTGACAGCTAAGAAATGAAGAAGCATTCATTATCTGAGTTGCAACCTACATTAAATTAGCTTAAATGTATCATAGTGAGATCATAACAGATAAGTATTCTGAACAGGTTTTGGTTCAATTTTAATGCTTTCATGTAACCCTGGCTAATTGGAAAAAAATGATCAACACATTACAAGATGAATTAAAATTGGAGTAACATATTAGCTCCAACCACATGATATTAGACATTTATCTTCCCTAATTATGTTGTGTATTTAGTACTTAGAGTTTAATATTTTTATGGTTAAATGAGAAAGATGTATACTGTAGAAAAACACCAGCAGAAAACATGAACTCACATTTAATTTTAAATTTAATTTGTCAGACAGAAGTACAATCAGTGTGTACTGTAATAATTCTAGTAATAGAAAGTCATTAAAATCTAAAATATTAACTGGTTGCATAGCGCATTTGACATTATTGCCCATTTCATGAGGGAAAACAATTAATTTCCAATAAATTTTGTCTGATTTGGATTCAAAAGTGTTCATATATTGAACACTCCTTCTTTAAAACCTATGGACTGAAAAAAAACCCTTTTCAGATCACAGTTTAACTTAATATTTCCCAACATTTCATTACAACAAATCACAATATTGACAGTTTAATAGAAAAACATATCCAAAACATGTATCTGAAGCACCCGATAAAAAAGGGGCACTGAATGGAATAAAAAAGTTCCTGTCCCCATTTTTGCATTCTGAACAGTGATTTCATAAAGATATTTTATTAAAAAGTGTTAGTATACTGACTCTGTGATAAGAACTGAGTAGGTGGGGAAAGGAACAAGCAAAAAAAAAAATAAATCTCATGTAATTGGTTTGCAAAAATTTTCAGCCATTTATTTTATTTTGAAAAAAGGCATTATTATAACTGATCACAAACAGGAGAAATCCTGGCTATTTTACAGTTATAGGTACAGAACTTAAATATTCAAACTTGTGATGAAAAGCAGCAAGGTGGTTGCAGTGTACAATGTAAATAAATAGCTTTGAAAAGTGAACAAATGTCCTTGAGAATTCTTTATTAAGAAAACAAAACAAACTCCTTATTTCTCCCTGAAACATGATCAGTCAGTGTTTAAAAATTCATTTGCAAACATAATTTAAACTGTGTTCACCCTAAAAACAGTTTTATGAGATCCGGTCTGAATGGGGCAGTGTTGAGGTCCCTGTAAAAGTAAACATTTTCCATTTCTTAAAGAGGGGAAAAAACCCCCCACCTGCCACAACATTTGTAGCACAGTGCAGCATAAATTTTAAATACAAAAATATTTTTCTATTGTTGGGATAATAGACCTTGCATCCTGGAAAGAAGTAACAATACTGCTAGCGACAGAACATCCAGTCCATATCTTTCAAGTCACATAAGGCAATTACTGTGTTAGTTTACTGTATATGGCTAAAAGAAGGTCCGGAAAATAGTCTTTGTTATGTTTTCCAGCTACTCCATGTATGTTCAGGTGTACTTTTGTGATCTGATGAGTGTTCAAATGGAGATCTGTGTCCTATAGGAGATCTTGAACCATAAGGAGACCTCTGATCTAATGGTGACCTTGGGCCACTACCAGAAGCTCTGTGGTCCATTTGCCAGTCTGAGTGGTACCTATAATCTCTGGAAGATTTATGATGGCTGTACTCTGAAGTGAAACGGTGATCTGAATGTATCCTGTGGTCTGAATGGGAACGGTGATCTGAATGAGGCCGACTGTCTTTTAAACTTCCTTCCAGATTTGACCTGTGATCTCTGCTCCTGTGGTCATCCAGCTTTCTATGTTTACTATCACTATAGTATCTGAAAAAATTTACTTATTACTGAACACATAGTAAGAGCTACAATTATGTCAATTCAATAGAACTGCATAAGAGAAATGTCTTTGCAATTCTGCATTGCTTAGAAAAGATTCGTTGGTGCTTACTACAAGCATACTGCAAAACCAGGAAGGGAATTCTTAACAGAGCAATTTACCTGCTGTCTTGTTTATAGTGATCCCAGTCTCTGTGGTCTTTTCCATTGCTGAAGCCTGAATAGGACCTTTTCCTTGAGTCGCTTTTCTTATAAGCATCTCCCTGATACCTGTCCTTATGATGATCATGGTACTGTGACAAATATCTATCAGAAGAACTGTCCCTGCTACTGTCATCATGGTTTGTATTCTCCTTCAGTCTTTCAACATCTGTTAATTAAAGCAGAGGTTATAAGGAAGTCTCATATAGTATAATTTTTTTTCTTCACCAATACAAACAGCACTTCTATCTGTAGGATTTAAAGTGATGTGAAAGTGGCTTTATAGTTTGCCAGAAACAATATCTAAATAATTGAAAGACAAATGCAGTAATGTGAGTGAACTGAGAGAAACCTCAGAAGTAAGGAAGCAAGCAAGATAGAAATGTAAATATGTAGGGTTGAGAAACAAAATTTTTCAGCCTTACAGACTGAATGGAGAAGATCAGTGTGGTCCAAATGAGCAGTGAGTAGAGATCAGGTACCTTTAGCAGAGCAGTTTGAAACAAAATGGTAGGAAGTTCCTCTCAAAGGAGAGACAGCCCTAGTGTGAACACCAGCTTTAGAGGTACACCTTAATGATAGGTTATTAGTGGTATTCCTAAAATACATTACACTCATTTTAAACCCATGATAACATACTCTAGGTTTTATATAACATAGTATAAAACCAAGTATTACAAGAAGGTAACAGTGGGAGCACAGAAAACCAGTATTATTGCCAATAATAAAAGACATCCCATATAACTGATTGCTAACCATGACTTCAGGGAATATCTTTCTTATGATATGGTGACATTACAACTGCTACAAACAAGTATAGAGCTTCCAAGAAGTTTACAAGTGTTGAGTTGGCCTCTGTCCCTTCTCAAAATTAAATACAAAAAAGTGTGGGTTTTAAAAATTAATTTATTTCCTTTAAAATAATGGCTAAATAACTTGCTACTAAAATCAGTAAGTGCCAAATTTGGTCCATGCTCAGTTGAATTTCATCAGCAAACTAGTGAAGTTATACTAAGTCATCCTATTCCTATGATATACATCAGTATGGGAGTTCTAGGAGACAGTTTTAAATTTATTTCACTTTACATACCATCATTTAAGATATACAGCACAATAATATGCTCTAGATTTCTTACCTGGATTTCTAATTACATGTGTATTCACATTGTTGCTAATATTCTGGTCACTGTGCTAAAAGAGACAAGTATAAAAATAATCATTGATAAATCCCAGAGTTGCATCTGAATTCTTCAGAAAATATCCTAAGAAAACAGACTAGTTTACTATGAACAGTAAAATACATTTAAAGTATATTGAGTGTAGACAATTGATACATAATAATAACAATTATAAAACTTAGAATATATATTTGTATATTTAGAGTCTGAAAGTATTACCTGAGATTCTTGGCGTTTTTTGATTGCATGTTTATACAGCTTGTGCAGCTTTCTGGCATCAAATTCTGTAAACTTAGAGACAAAAATCCACAAGTTTCTGAGGAAAAAGAAAGAGAGGCTATAATTTTCCATATATAATTTTTTAATTGTGTCATTGCATTGGGTTTGCATGGTCAGGTTTTGGGAACAGAGGGGCTACAGGGGTGGCTTCTGTGAGAAGTTGCTAGAAGCTTCTCCCATGTCTGACAGAGCCAATGACAGCCAGCTCCAGGACAGACCTGCCACTGGCCAAGACCGAGCCAATTAAGAATGATAGTAATGTCTCTGTGATAACATATTTAAGAAGGAGAAAAAGTTGTTGCACAAATGAAATGGTAGCCAGAGAAGAGCGGAGTGAGAATGTGAACAACTCTGCAGACACCAAGGTCAGTGGAGAAGGAAGGGGAGGAGGTGTTCCAGGTGACGGAGCTGAGGTTCCCCTGCAGCCCGTGGTGCAGACCATGGTGAGGCAGCTGTCTCCCTGCAGCCCATGGAGGACCACAGGGGTGCAGAGATCCACCTGCAGCCTGTGGAGGACACCCATGCCAGAGCAGGTGGATGCCTGAAGGAAGCTGTGATCCCATGGGAGGCCCATGCTGGAGCAGGGTCCTGGCAGGGACCTGCTGACCCATGGAGAGAGGAGCCCATGCTGGAGCAGGTTTTCCTGGTAGGACTTGTGATGCTGTGGTGTAGCCTGTGCCTGAAGTACTGCACCTCATGGAAAAGTGACCCATGTTGCAGCAGTTTGCGAAGAATTCTTGCCCTTGGGATGGACCCAAGTTGGAGAAGTTCATGAAGAACTGTCTCCCGTGGGAGGAACCCCACAGTGGAGTGGAAAGACTCCTCTCTCTGAGCAGTGACAAAAACAACTTGTGATGGACTGACCATAACCCCCATTCCCCATCTCCCTGTGCCACTGGGGGAGGAGGAAGTAGAACTTGGTAAGACGGGAGGGGTGGAGGGGATGGTGTTTTTAAGATTTACTTCTTATTATCCTGCTCTGATTTTGTCAGTAATAAATTTAATTAATATCCCCACCTTGAGTCTGTTTTACCTGTGACAGTAATCAGTGAGTGATCTCTCCCAGTCCTTATCTCAATTAATGAACCCTTCATTATTCCCTCTCCCCTGTCCAGCTGGTAAGGGGAGTGATAGAGTGGCTTTGGTGGATACCTAGCATCTAGCCAGGGTCAACCAACTACAGTCATACAACAGAACATGGACTTAAATGAAATTATTTCAACAGTACTTCAGTAAACTGAAATCATAGTAAAGTCCGTTACACAGAATATTACCTAGATGCACAGCAATAATTACTTAGCTCTATTTCAAACTTCACAGAAATGAATTACTTTAAGAATTTGTTGTTTTGTAATATTTATCACAATGACTGCAGAATGCAAAGTGCATGAAAACTAGTGTTTAGTTCAGAAACATCTCAAGTGTGTACATTCAAGAAGCATCTATCTGCTCTTTCACTGTGATGATTTAAACATTATAGTTTTGGCCTAGAGGTTTGCAAAAGTAGACACAACCAATGGTGTGCCCAATGACATCTGTATAAGAAATATAGCATGAATACCTTTACTAAATTCTGTCTTATTAAAGACTGATGAAATACATATTTTAATAATCTATGTATGGTACTGTAGCGTTATTAAGAATTAACATTATAGTATCTCTACTATACTCATTCTTCACTGAAAGGGTGTTCATGAATTGGAATGGGTTACTCAGGAAAGTGGTGGAATCACTATCCCTGGAAGTGTTCGAAAAATGTGTGGATGTGGTACTTGGTGACATGGTTTAGTGGTGAACATAACAGTGTTAGGTTAATGGTTGATGATTTTAGAGGTTTTTTCTAACCTAATGATTTTATGATTCTATGATCCTATGATGAATTTCCACTTAAAGAAACATAACATTTATCAAAGTGTCTTTAAGACATGGATTGTTTTTGTATTTCAGTTCAGCCCAATATTTTAAAATAAAGTAAGTACAAACAGCAGAAATATTCTATGTTAACAACAGTCTGCAAGAAAATTAAACACTTGACTGAGGAGTGTCGTATATGGAAGTGCAACCATATTTACAACCATGAAGGAATTAAGTATACATTATGATAAAACTAACTCAAATTGTATTAAGAACTTAACAACAAAATATAGCAATTTTATAAACCAACATTTTTCTTATTTATTCCAATGTTATCACCTCACAGATGCATAAGAACACTTAAAACTCTTCTTTCATTTTGAAATACATTTCTGAGTATGTTATGATAAATATTTTCTATCAAGTCAGTTCATATTTGATTTAGAGTATATTTTTTAAAAGAATAAAGGATTCTGCAACTCAAAATCAAAGTTAAATACACAAATTTATAATGACCTATTTTTAGCATGAATAAAAAAACCAAAACAAACTACAAAGTTGAAAAGGACAGATTCTTTAATGATAAGAACTGTTTTCCCCTAAATAATAAATATACTCTAAATACAGTTATTTTGTTTGTTTTTGGTTTTAAAAAGTACGCTCCACCTACGGGACAAAATGCATTGCTATGCAAGCATAAAAAAGTGAATCCAATAAAAGTTTGAACCATCTATAATCATCTTTTTATGTCTGTCATAGGTTTTCTTGTTTTAAAGAAAAAAAAGGAGGGGAACCCTGCTTGGAAATTTTTTTCCCTTTAGGACTGTGAAAGAAAGGTGAGAGCAAGGGGGCTGCTTGAGAGGCTGCCATGCCGGCCCCGTGGGAGGAGATGGCTGAAGTGAGCACACACTCCCTCTGGGGACGGGACTTCACTTCTTTACTGGACTCAGGGAGGGGGTGTGTGAGGAGAGAGAGCTCCGGGGGTCATCTTGCTTTTGGCCAAGTCACCTGGCTGCTTTTGGCCCCGGCTTGCCCCCATTCCCTCACACCCTGTTCTGCCTACCGCCTGGACCTGCCTCGGATTTCATTTGAGAGGCTGGTGCCAATCTGCAGAGGAGTTTCTGAGGGAAAAGGCTGCTCTTTTTTCCCTCCTCCTTCTCCTCCTCTTTCCATTCTGGTGGAAGCTTGCATCCATTTATGAGAGAAGGGAAGTTCCAGACAGAGCTTTTTGACAGCATGAGTCCACGGGAGGATCACCCTCCCCCCTTCTTCCTTCCCCCCTTCGGTGGGGGGTCCCATCTGGCCACCTCCTGTGCGCTGGGCCCCACGCGGCGGGGCCGGAGGCAGCCAGAGCTCAACAGTGTCCCCTGCTGACCACTAGAGGGCAACTGCAGCCTTTGCTCCACCAGAGATCCAACAGTGCCCCCTGCTGGTCGTGGTTAGAACTGCTCTAAAAGGCAAAAAGTACTTAACTGGGGTTTTTTTTTGGTGGGAATTTGGGTGCAAGATTGTTGGGGCTTTTTTCTTTTGTTGTGTTTACCTATACACATATATTCTTTAATAAAGAGCTGTTACTTTTCCTTTCTCCACATTTCCTTGACTGGACCCTCTTAATTTCAGAGTTACTATTGCTTAGAGGGAGTAGCTTGGTTTTCCTCATCTCACCCTTCTTAGCAAACACTTCTGTCTCGGTAAACTGAGACAAAGTCCTTATTTAATACAGCAGAAAAATAAAAGAAAGGGAGAATAAGAAACAAGACAAATAATTAAAAAATATTCTGATTAATAGAAGCTATTATGGATTTCCCATTTTCAAGAAATACCATGCATAATAACTTACTTTCTCCACTGTTTAATTTGTTCAGGATTTGTGTACTCCTTTAGACATTCAGTAATGTGGTCCCCAATTTTGATTAGGCACTGTCTAGTATGCTCCAACTGTTCCCTTTCAGAAAGGCCTTTCTCTGGTCTATCCAATTGTTTCAATGCTGCTTTGACAGGCCTCATTCTTTCTTTGCACTATAAAATGTAAAAAGGGAATACATTAATTCAAAAATAAAAACATAATAAAAATTGTAAAACATAACTCACCCTTACATATGCAAAGACAGTACTGTTGTAAGCCAAATGAAAAAACAAATCTTTGCTCACAGTTCTTTTAGTTTTACTACAAGGTTTCATTTGGAAAAAGTAGTTTTTTAAATACAGTTGAAAATTTACTCCTATATGAAAGTATTAAATTGTATGTAAAAAATATTAAAGATTTAAGAAAGCATTAAGTTAATATAAAAGATTTTCTGAGAGAAAGGAATTATTATAACTAGGTTTTCCAATTATGGGTTTAACTTTCAGCACAAGTATATAGGACTGTTATGGTTACAAGCCAGGGAAGAGAATTATAGTAATCAATATTCATATCATTACATCATCTGAAGGAGGCCACCCTGCCCTCCCAATGCAGGGAGTTGGAGGGAAGGGGGCAGTTTTCAATGAGGGTAAAAGTTGTTTCCAGGGCATCAGCTGTGGTTGGAAGTCATCCCTGCCTGGCGGGGACAACAGAAAAACCACTCTGGGAACCAGAAGTACGCCATCTTGCCTTGGTCACTGAAACAGTGTGGACTGTCATCAAAAAACCCATGGAGAAATTTGATCCCTTCTGCCACCCGCCAATTCTCCTCCCATTTCTCCTCCAGAGTGCTAGTACAAAGTTTCGGTGCTTAAGTGGACAGCTCCGAGGTATGACTGAGCCAGCTGGGAGTCACTCTGCTTCGCTTGCTGCTGTTGCTGCTCACCTGGCATGGGATGGCTGCACCCCCACCCTCACCCCCATTGCCGCTCCACTTTGCTCACTGCTCACCCAGTGTGGGACAGTTGCACCCCTTGCTGCTCAGAACAAGAGACAACAACCCGTCCACCAGGGAACTGGTACCACTGCTGCAGTTAACCTGAAGGAGGGGGTTGGGGGGGAAAAAACCCTCCATCATTTTGTTTCCCCTTTGTTCCCAGGGGACCACATGGGTGGTGCATTCCCCTCTTTGTGGGTAAACTGTTTCCCCTGTATCTTTGTAGTTACTGCTTTTTCCTTTTAGTAAACTGTTATTTTTTCAATTATAACCTCCTCACATTTTTTTGGGGGTTCCACTATAAAAAGGGAGAGTTCATCTTATTGGAGTTCCGACCTCCCAATATTTGTCTTTAAACTAAGAAGACAAGGATAAGACTTATTTTATTTTTTAGAGTCTTGAAAGCTATACAAATTCAGTGTCAAGAAAGAGAGTATATTTTAAATAGATACTTTCTGCAACAATAAACTTGGCATTCAACAGAGGATCAGCATTCCTTTGAACAGTTTTTAAGCCTGAGTTCTATGCAGATACTAGGATAAATCTAGTTTAGGTGTGCCTAAATTAGTAACAGTGATGACAACACATATGTACTGATAGATATATTTCCTATGTGTATTCTTGAATTTTCACACTAATTCAAATGTGTTAATAGTAAATACAGATAAACCAGTTAGCATGTTTTAAATTATAGATGCTTGCTTGGTAGACAGATGAAATGCATATTTTTACCTGTCACAAGGTAGACAAGAAGTCAAATGAGTTAGCCTCAACAACCCATAGCAGTAATTTCCATCTTAAAATATAAATATGCTAATTAGATTTCATCTGATTATGGCATAATGATGAATATACCTTCCAGAACAGAGGGCCTGGCTAAAAAAATGTTCTACATGCAAACCCAACCTAGAATTGCTCCCACTTAGGAAGAGAGGCAAGTCTGTTTATCCAGAATCAAAAATGTGAGGGATTTTGGAGAACATCACCATCACTGTGGCAACATCTAGGGACAACTCAAAAATCATTTAAGCTGTTCCATTACCAGTTCATGCCATTAAGTAATTAAGCAGCTACATTACCTATTGCACTAACCACAGCTTAAAGCAAGCTTTAAAAAGACAGTTTACAAACTACACTGCTTAAGTTAAGTGTAGATATGAACAGAGAAGCAGAATTGTTCATGGGAGTTGCGTGATTTTCAGTCACCTAGCCACTCACAAGATATCCTGGAAATTATGGATGAGTTACTTAGATAAAAAAAACACAAAACAACAACCCCCACAAAGATAAACTGGTCAGTACCATACCAATGAGAAAACAAGATAACTTCTCATAGTGAGCACCACAGTAGACCCAGTAAACCTGTCTAGTAGTAACAACTGTTGAGAGCTGAATGATAGAACTTTCACAGCAGAAAACTAGCTGCTCAAAATAACTCCTTAGCATCTTTCCAAAGGCCCCAATCGACCTATAAAATGTTACATACCTCCCTTTTTTTCTTCCAATATTGATTCGGTTGCGGTCAAAAGTAGTAATATAACTGAAATTGTTTTGGTATCAGATATATTAGTCAGGTAAGATATTTCTAAGGATTTTAGGATTTGTTCCTTCCTCATTCAGTTTTGTCCTTTAAGAAGCAGTATCCACAAATTATTCTTGAGGATGGATCTTCACAGTCTGTATTTTAAAACTGTCCAGCACACAGACAACTAGACAAATACTCTTCACTATACTGCATAAATGCAATAAAATAAAACTGCTGACCTGAAAACAAAACTGAATTTAGTAGATTTTACTGGCAATAGATATCTGTATTATAATGCCTAATAGCATCAAAAACATCAGAAATCGTGTTCATTTAGAATATCGTGTAAACAGCAAGTTATCAACAAGGGACTTACCACACTGAATGTTTTCTGATCCAGTTCTTCAGATTCATCTGATATTGGAACTGGTTCACTAGTTGCAGTAATATGAACTGGAATATCCAACAATGAAACTTTTTTATTTTTTTCTTTATTTTCAGATTTGATTTCATTTGCCTAAGAACAAAAGATGAAAATTTATCTGATAAGCAAACCTTATTTTTGGCCTGGAATTATACTGTAATTAGGCAATCACTGTATTTACTGCATTCTATTCAATAAGAACAAAAAAAAAAAGAAAAAAATCTGACATTCAGTGACAGTACCTTTTATTTTCTCTCTCTGAGGGATGGAGAAGGAGAATGGACAAGTTTCTTTGCACCATTTGCACTCTCAGTCCCATTAAGCTATGGATCTTTAAAGATTTCATTTGCCTGTCCTTGTAGTTACAAGTGGTAAAAATAAAACTTCATGATGCAAAAAAATTCAATGAAGTGACAACTGTAAAGTGAATGATCCAAAATATCTTTTCAACTCAAAGTCATTCACAAAATCCTGGTGGCTTTTTCTAGTGTTATATAAGAAAAAATAAACGTAGTTACCTTTTCTTCCTTTACTTCTTTTTCTTTCTGCATGGATTCTTTTACTTTGTTTTCTCTCTTTTCTTTAATATTTTTTAATTCTTTCTTATCCTCTTTTTCTTTTTTCTCCCTTTTCAGATTCCTCTTGTTTTCTTTTTCTCTTGTCTCTCTTTTTTCTTCATCTTCCTTCTTTATACCAATATCTGACTCAGGTTTTTCTTCAATTTCTTCTTTTGCTTTTATTTTTTTATGTGGACGTTTCACTGAAACAATCTTATCCTGCAATACACAAGCATATATGTCACATCAAATTGAGTTCCTAACTATACAAATTTTGTAACCATCAGATTAAAATGCACTTTTTTTCTGCGTGTGATTACTTTAGACATAGGTTTAACACCTATCAAATGGAGCTGAATGCAGTTGCAAAACAAAATGAGGACTACTCACTTATTTCCTTGATGTGTCACAAAACGTCTTGATTGGGCAGGGGTAATGTGGGGGTGTGAGAGATTAAATCCATTTAACTTTTGTATTACCAAAGAAATCTGCCCTGTAAAAGGTAGTTAAGCTGCAAAGAGCTAAAAACAATAAGGAAATAGGCATCACAAGACTGAGCTGATTTTTCAGGGCATTGTGATGATAGAAGACCTCTGTTCTGGTTAGTTTTGTTCCAGTAACTTTTGACTGATCACAAATTAAACAGTCACAGGAGAAGGGAACAACTTTCTCTTTTTCAGAGATGTTCCGAAGAATCTAGTGTTCTTTCAGTTACCTTCAAAGTCACAAAATTAGGTGTAACATGGTCCCTAAACTTAATGTTGGTTTGTTTTTTTTTCTTCTCTCTAGTGGTTTCTGCTGTGTGATAAATTTAAATAAATGACCCAACAAAAATAGAGTCCTAAAGGAATACATCAGAAGTAATAAAAGCACAACAAAATTGAGTAGCCTGTTAGAACAGTATCTATTGAATAATAGTCAAACTCAACATCCACAAGTCCATGGGCCCTGATGGGATGAACCCATGAGTGCTGAGGGAACTGGCAGACATCAATGTTAGGTCATCCTCAATCATCTTTAAAGGAGGACCCAGGGAAGTAAAGACCAGTCAGCCTCACCTTCATCCTTGAAAAGGTGATGGAACAGCTCATCCTGGAGGTCATTTCTATGCACATGGAAGACAAGAAGATGATCAGGAGTAGTCAGCATGGATTTACCAAAGGGAAATCATACTTGACCAACCTGATTGCCTTCTACAATGGGACAACTGGTTAGATAGATGAGGGGAGAGCAGTGGATATTGTCTACCTTGACTTCAGCAAGGTTTTCAACACTGTATCCTATGATATCCTCATAGGAAAACTCAGAAAGTGGGGACTGGACAAGTGGATGGTAAGGTAGATAAAGAACTGGTTGAATGGCAGATCCCAGAGGGTTGTGATCAGTAGCAGAAGCATTCACTTGCATGTCTCAAAACATTGTTTATTCATGCTGTACTTTCTAATCAAGCTTAATTTTTTCCGGAGCATGAACAAAAGTTGTTATCTGAAGAATCATTATCAGTAGTAATAATGGGTTAATTAGAAACACTAGTTTTATATTCAGATGTTATATTAAAATATTAAAATTAGAATTGCATTTCTAAAAGATACAGTGCTCATCTTTATATGAATGATGTTTACCTCATTATGCTCATCATCTTCATCAGAGTTTTCTGAGGGTGGTGATGAGGAGTCACTTTTTATTTCTTCTTTAATTTTTGCAGCCTTTGATGCTCTATTCTTACTTCTTGTTTTCTTCCTCTTTGAATTGCCCTGAATGCAAATTAGTACTTTTATTATGTCAACTGACAAGTGTCTGCATCACAGTTGCAGAAAAAGATTTTGGTTTTTATGTTAAAGAAATTGTTCATTTTATTTATTACCACTAATGACCACCACTTTTCTCAGGACTAGAGACCAAGCCTAATGCAACAGTAGAGAATATATACAAATAAGGGAGAAAAAAGCAATATTAAACTTGCAATACATTCCTTGAGTTAGTCTCATATAACACTATTACCAATACAGAGAAAAATTACACAAAGCAAAGAAGAGTGGAACTAAGAATAAAACAAGTATTTGCTGACATTCCCATAGGCATATTATGTTATCTCACTACTGAATATTAAGCTTAACTTACTGCACCAGTAAGTCTTTGCACTTCTTTTCTTGCAAGGTCTTTATTCAATAATTTAATGAGGTAATCTGCACGAGTCTGCAACTGCTTGGCCTGGGGTTTCTTATCTGGATCATCAGGTAAAATCTGAGGAGAGCAATGGTAGCATCAACTATAAGTACACATTATCAAATTAGAAAGCTGCTAGTCTGGAACACTGGGAACAAAAAAAGCTGAATGAAAAAAATAGGTAAAAAAACAAATCCACTCCAACTATATCTGACCAATATGTAGGCATGCTTCAAGGAATGGAGAACTTCAACATTTAATTTTTCTTCAAACACACAATTAATGTAGTCTTGAAAATAGTCTCACAAAGTTTACAGTAAACTCAAGAAACTAGCCTCAGATTTCTGTTTCCACTCTCATAGTTTATCTGAAAAATTCAGAGCTCCTGTACCACTGTCATACACAGATCTCCTAGTTCTGCCTTGTGATTCTAAATGTATTAATTCATTACCACAGAATATACCAGAAGCCAAAAATATAAATGAGTGGTTTCATAAAACAAGCAAATTAATGGAAGGCAGGGGCAGGATATCCTTAAACAGATTTATATACAACCCTGGCTACTCAAATCTCAAAGCTACAGGTTGTTGGCAGTATCACTGAGTTTACTTCACTCCAGTCTTTTCCTAAATGTTTCTCACTAATTCTAAGCAGCCATTGCACTACTTCTAATCTGATAAATACAGCAATTCCCATGTTGTAAATGAAAGACAGTTTCAAGCAAAGGAAACAGGGATAGGAAAACCAAACCAATTTCCCTCCAAAAGACCAAGAATAAAATCACAAAATCACAGAATCATTTAGATTGGAAAAGACCTCTGAGATCATCGAGTTCAACCACTGAGCGATCATCACCTTGTCAACTAGACCATGACACTAAGTGCCATGTCCAGTCATTTCTTGAACACTGCCAGGGATAGTGACTCCACCACCTTCCTGGGCAGTACATTCCAATGCTTAACAATCCTTTCTATGAAGAAATTTCTCCTGATGTCCAACCTGAACCTCCCCTGGCACAGCTTGAGGTGCTTGGTCTGTTTCTAGTTGCCTGGGAAAAGAGGTCGATGCCCACTGTGCTACAACCTCCTTTCAAGTAGTTGTAGAGAGCAATGAGGTTTCCCCTGAGACTCCTTTTCTCCAGGTTAAACAACCCCAACTCTCTCAGTTGCTCCTGATATGACTTACTCTCTTGACACTTCACAAGCTTCATTGCCCTTCTCTGGACATGTTCCAGCCCCTCAATGTCTTTCTTGTAGTGAGGGGCCCAGAACTGGACACAGTACTCAAGGTGTGACCTCACCAGTGCTGAGTACAGAGGGACAATCACTCCCCTGGTCCTGCTGGTCACACTATTTCTGATACAAGCCAGGATGCCATTGGCCTTCTTGGCCACCTGGGCACACTGCTGGCTCATGTTTAGTTGGCTATCGACCAGGACCCTCAGGTCCTTTTCTGCTGGGCCTCTTTCCAGACACTCTTCATCAGGCTTGAAGTGTTGCATGGGGTTGTTGTAACTCAAGTGTAGAACCCAGCACCTGGCCTTGTTGAACCTCATACAATTGGTCTTGGCCCATTGATTCAGCCTGTTCAGATCCCTCTGCAGAGCATTCCTACCCTCCAGCAGATTAAAACTCCCACCCAACTTAGTGTCATTAGCATATTTACTGAGGATATGCTTGATTCCCTTGTCCACATCATCAATAAAGATATTAAACAGGATCAGGCCCAACACTGATCCCTGGGGAACAGCACTAGTGACCATCCACCAACTGGATGCAGAACCGTTCACCACCACTCTCTGGACCTGGCCATCCAGCCAGTTCTTAACCCAGTGAAGATTGCACCTGTCCAAGCCATGGGTCGACAGCTTTTCCAGGAGTATGTCATGGGAGACAGTGTCAAAGGCTTTGCTGAAGTCCAGATAGACTACATCCGCAGCCTTCCTCTCATCCACTAGGTGGGTTACCTGGTCTTAAAAGGAGATCGAGTTGGTCAGGCAGGACTTGCCCCTCCTAAATCCCTGCTGGCTGGGTCTGATCCCCCATGTGTCCTATAGATGGTGTGTGATTGCACTCAAGATAATCTGCTCCATCACCTTGCAGGGCACTGAGGTCAGGTTGACAGGCCTGTAGTTCCCTGGATGCTCCTTCTAGCTCTTCTTGTGGATGAGCATCACATTGACCAACCTCCAGTCATATGGGACCTCCCTGGTTAGTCAGGACTGATGAATTCTTCTTCCAGCTCCCTCAGTACCCTTGGATGAATCCCATCCAGACCCATAGACTTGTGAGTGTCTAAGTGGCACAGCAGGTGGCACTGTTTCCTCTTGGATTGCAGGGATTCTATTCTGCTCCCTGTCTCTGTCTACCAGCTGAGGGGGTTGGTTGCCCTGGGGATAATTGATCTTACTGTTAAAGACTGAGGCAGAGAAGGTGTTAAGTACCTCAGCCTTTTCCTGTCTTTGGTGACAATGTTCCCCTCTGGGTCCAATAAAGAATGGAGATTTTCCTTGGCCCTCCATTTTTTGTTAATGTATTTCCCGGTCAGGGACACTCCCCGGGCAGATGGAGCTCATTAGCCCTGTAAAAAGGCAACCCATCTGTCATAGTTCGTATTTTTAGCAAGGAATTTTTCTTTCCTTTCCTCCTGCCGTGTGTGTGCGCTCTGTATATTGCCCATTTAGTTGAACAAAGGAATCGGCCCGAGCCCTAATGGTCGAGATTTGTTTCCTTGAAAACAAAGGGGGGAGGTGGCTGGTGTGTGACTGGAAGGGGGTGGAGGCTGGGGGGGAGGAGAGTCTCTCTCGCTGCCGGGGTGAGAGGCTGCTGCGGGCTGCAGACACTGCCGGGTTCCTTTGTCTCTTTCCTGTCGGAGGGGAACTCTGGTTGCTACTCTTGGCTCAACTCTGGCTGGCTGCAGCCCTGCTTACAACAGACCCTAATCAGCTGAAGTTTGTGAGTTTTCTTCCATTGGGAGAACTTTCTGTTTTATTGCTGTTGTTTTCCTTCCCCTTCTTTCCCCCCTCCCCCCCCCCACCTGGCGGCAGCCAAGGATCTCACAGCGCTGCCTGGTGACAGGCACTGGATATTACAAGTTCTACTCCTTCAGTGATCCAACAGCGCCACCTGGTGACTACAATAGGACACTACAAGTTTTTTACACCTTCAGTGACCCAACAGCGCCACCTGGTGAATGGTACAGGACATTACAAATTTTGCATCTCCAGTGACCCGACGGCGCCCCCTGATGACTGTGGTTGGAACTGCACCAAAGGGTGCAAGAAATTGAACTATTTTCCTTTTGCCGGTTTATCAGTTTTGTTCTTGAAGGGGATTATTGGTGGGTATAGGAGTATTACTTAGTTATTTTACTTGGGTTTTTTTCGTGTTCCTGTTAATACACACATACGTTTTAATAAAGGGCTGTTATTTTCCCTTTTCCATAATTTGTTTTCCTTCAATCGGAGCCTCTTAATTTTGGATTTATAATTGCTTGGAAAGAGAAGTTTGGGTCTTTTCCTCCTAATTCATCCTCAGCAAAAGACCCTTGTCTCATTTAAACTGGGACACCATCTACATCCTGAGGACCTCGCTGCCACCGTCCAAGCTCGCTTGGTCCCGGCAGATGAACCTTAGGATTAAAGGGTGGGCTCAGTTCCGCGCACACTGTGTCTCACCTAAAAAATCCAGTGCGCAGGCTGGAAGGTGGAAAGACCTTCCCCGGATCTTCGCTCGCGAAGACTGGCCATTATTATTTACAAAAACATTTTTTATTATATTTCACAGCAGTGATTGGATCGAATTCTAGTTAAGTTTTAGCCTTTGTAATTTTCTTTCTACGTGACCTAACAACATCCTTGTACTCTTCCTGAGCTGCCTGCCTCTTTTTCCAAAGCTCTGTAATTAATTAAAATTAATACAACTAGAGCATCTAAACTAGGGAAGCAAAGGATGGAAGAGAGAATTCAAGTGACAGAGATACAAATACATAGAAATACAGAAACATAGCAGACTCTAAGAAGGTATACTTCAACTGAATACACAAAATCTTAAAATCTAATAATTTACCAAAAGTATACAAAGGAGTACAGCTGACCTAACTTCTGTGCAATTTCCATTATCATAAAATAAGCTCTTTCAGTAACTGTTCTTATTAGCATTATCACCTAAACAAAAAAAGTCCTTGATGAAATTTTGTAGATGACATACCTTCTGTGTCAAACTGAGATCAGGATCCATTTTTATCATTTCCCAGCTGCCATAGCCATATTCATAGATACCTATTAACAGATTGGAATCATCTTCCTTACCCCAATCTATATCAAAATGAGCTGCCTTGGTGTGGCATGGGATGACATATCTAGTAGAAATAAATTAGAAATATAGATAAGCAAACTTCTAATACTTAGATAGGAGAACATGCCACACAGCACTAAGATCCTGGTATATTTAGTAGGTAATCCAGATAACTATCAGGCTTTCATACAATTTCTATAAAAAATTTCTATAAAAACATGTTTTAAATCAGATCAAGATATAAAAACCAGACATCTATCTGTGGCCATGGACTGATTCAGAACTGGCTAATCATGAAGATAAGCTTAACTGCTAAATGAATAAGCAGATAGTCTAGGGAATACGATACACAAGGTAGCAAGCTAAAAAGTTCTCAAGGTTAAACAACTACCAACAATTACCATCTGCTCCATTTTGACAAATATTGCTTTCTCTCAGGTAGAGGTGACATACCTCAACAAGCCTAATTTCTAGTCTGGAATAATTAAGAGTAATTGAACCCAGTCCCCAACGAATACAGTTCAGAAGCCAAAGCAAATACTGGCTTCTAAGGAGAGGAAAGAAAGAATAAAGAAAGGATGTGGAGCAGATTTCTGCTGCCAGTTCTTAGAGGTAATGGAGCAACATGGGTGTCCCAGTGTACTTTGAGTCTAGATTGCTTAAATATACGCAAAAAAGCCTTAAATAACTTTCTACATTATGGGTTCCTTTAGGCAGAAAAAAAATACCTTTTCCTTTCTTCTGGATCTGCAGGAATGGATTTGTGCAATGGTGCCAACTCTTCTTCATGAGAAATGACTAGCTTTGCATTCACCTGCACTCCTGATATTCGAAATGTTGGGCCTTTAACTTTCCCAAATCTACCTCCTTAAAATAAAGGACCAAATTATTAAAATATTTAGCCTTCACGTGTATCTTATAGACAAACATAGAGAAAAAAGAAAGTTTGATGCTATAGCAGTAGACATTCAATTATAAAATTGAATTTTTCTCAACTAAATGCTTTAATTAAACCAGAATCTTAAGGTCTTCCAGTTAATAGTAGCAGATTAATTTTAAATTTCATGGCAAAGCAAAAACATACTGCATTCTACTGTGACAACTCACTCAGGGGAAGGGGGAAGAAAAACAAAACCAAAAAGTCTTCTTACTAAAATCATTTTTCCTAAATCACCTAGCATGCTAACATTTTGTTAATGTTTTCCCCTAACACAATTGTTTTGTTATAATCAGAGTGCAAGAATCTTTCAGATCTCTTGATACTTTTTGTTCCTCTCCCTCACCCCCAAACACACTTTACCTGCTCTTTCTTGTCCGAAGGAATTGTCCTTTAAAGACTTAATGCATCCATTATGTACAAGTTCTCCCAGACGTCTAAGGTCCATCTCAGATTTATCAACTAGCTCAGCATCTCTAGCTATAGCATCTAACCTGGAAGAAAACAAATGTTTTTACAGCTATAAAACTTTAGTATTATGAATGACTTCTTCAGATTTTGAAACTAGAGAAGTGATCATGTAAGTTATCATTCACCCACACTTGCTATGCTGTGTACAATTATCAAACAAAAAACCTAAATAATCGTCACTAATGCAGATTAAACAGGACAGTAGGTAAAGAAAAAACAAGCAGTCTTGCAAAATTTAAAGATTTGTCAAACTGGTTGTTTACACACATACCATATATGATGAAAGGAAAATAAAATAATTTAAATTCATGTTATAGTGCAGGCAAAAGATTAGGCACATTATTTTCTCTTCAACCTAAGGTTTCTTGATGTTCTGTTCTAATTTTAATGGAAAGAAGGTACCAAGTTGTTATACAAATATAAGCAAATTAGTTTACCTTTCAAGTGGACCACCAAATTTCTTGTAACTCTTGATAAACCTAGTAACGTAAAATAATTTTGCAGTTAAAAAAATGTATGCTTAACTACGGTGGTGTTAAAAATGTATTTGTAAAGTCTCAGTACAAGGCTATGTGGATAATGCAAAGAAAATAAGAACTAGAGAGACTAGGACGGCTTAGTATATGAAGACAACCCACATTTAAAGCCAGAGTTCTATTTGGTTTAATAACTGATAGAAATAAAACAATAGAAGATGCAATTAATTTCAAAAATTTCTTTGCTAATTAGTTTCACAAGACAAAGAATTCAGCAATGTGATGTGTCTAATAGAAATTAAATGTGGATTTATAGTAAATCAAGAATTCAGATATGTTAGGCCTCTCACAATAAAGAGAATCTAGCTGCAATTTTATGGTGATTTTAAGACAGGAAAACATAACATGAAAGATAAAGGAATGCAAACACAAGAATACCCCTGACAAAAGCAGTAAACCATTATATATTAGATAAAATGAAAAGGAAACAAGGCTCTTTAAGGCTATTTATATAATCAAAAATATTTTATAAGCTTTACAGTATTTTAGAGAAACATGAATACAGAAGCAATGTAGCATTTCCCAAGCCAATCGAAGTAAAGCAAAACAATTTCTACTCCTTCTACCACCAAAGTATTTTTAGCACCAAATATTCTGGGACCAGCTGTACAGATTCACTTATGTACTGGTTTTCGCTGAGATAAAAGTTAATTTTCTTCAGAGCACCATACCTGCTAGTCCGTTTTGGATTTGTGAGCAAAACAGGCCTTTTCTGCTTCTCACACCACCCTGCCTGTGAGTAGGCTGGGGGTGCACAAGAAGTTGGGAGGAGGCACAGCTGGGACAGCTGACCCCAACTGACCAAAGGGATATTCCATACCATATGATGTCATGCTTAGCAATAAAAAATGTGTGGAAGAAGGAGGGAGAAGGGATGTTCGGTGTTATGGTATCTGTCTTCCCAAGTAACTGTCATACATGATGAAGCCATGCTTTCCAGGAAATGGGTAAATGCTTGCTAGTGGGAAGTGGTAAATGAATTCCTTGTTTTGCTTTGCTTGTGCATGTGGCTTTTGCTTTCCCTATTAAACTGTCTTTATCTCAACCCACAAGTTTTCTCATTTTTATCCTTCTGATTCTCTACCCGATGTCTCGGGGGGAGACTGAGCAAGCAGCTGTGTGGTGCTTAGCTGCCTAAAGAGGTTAAACCACAAAAACTTATCAAAATGGATTTTTTCTTTTTAGTTTTAAAAAGTATCATATAACATTAATACAATTACAATGTCAAGACATTTAACAAAACAAAACATTGAACCCCATATTATTCCTCACCAAAATAGGTTCAAATTCTGGACATAACAGTTCCTTATGTCAGCAACCAAAACTACACAGAGGAAAGCCTTAAATGCCTAGAATAAAAATTTTCAACTAAATTCATGAAAAATAGACTGTTTTCCATATTTTCAAACTCTAAAATGATAAAAAAATATGTTTTGTCCCTTTGCATGTCCCCCCACATCTTACCGCCTAATCTCTGCATCACTAAATCCTTTAATATTTTCTCGAGGAATAGTTCGAGGTCTTCCACGTTTTTTTGGTCGTTTTCTTTCTGAGACTGAGTCACTATCAGATCCAGAATATCTTCTCCTCCTACTGCGTTTCCCTTCACTTCCATTAAAGCTGATCTGGAATTTCAGATTAAGTAGTTCAAAGTTACATGACTAAAACATTTTATTAATATATTATCTAGCCTGTCAAAAATGAGGGGAGGAATGTGTGTGTGGGTGCCACTTGTGAAAACCACCCAACTCAGAAGTACAAGCCAAAACAACAGCACTAAAACAACAACAACAAAATCAAAGTTAGTTGATCAAAACTCAGAGATACCTGTTTTGCACAGTTTCTCATCCTTGGGAGCATATATATTTCTTCAAGCTCTTTTTGTCTTTCCTCCTCTTCTATTCGTCGACGCTGGACTTCTGGAATGATTTCTTCCCAGTTTCTTAAATTTTGTTCTGGTTCCAACTCAATGTCATCTTCATCCATATTGGAAAAATTAGCCACCTTATATATTGGAACATAAGTATTTTCACCAAGTCAATACATGATTTTATTTAAACAGAGTCAGTAATTAACATAATAGGAAAACTTAGTTCAGAATGGCAAATTTTATTTATTTGTGTATACACAAAATGTACACATATAAAATGCTTCATGAAGCACTGTCTCTAATGAAAGTATTTTCATATATGAAACACACACATCTCATGCAACATGGTTGAATATAAAAATGAGAATATTTTTCTTTTTTTACAAGTTGAGTAATATAAAAACACTATGAAATGCATCCCCAATAGCTGTGATTGTTGTTTAATTTCCTTCAAAGCAGAAAGCAAATCTAACTATATGTTGGAGTTAATATGGAAGTATAATAATGTAGAACTAACCAAACAATAATAAACTGTAGCAATCACAATCTACTGTAAATGAATGATTAGCATGAAAATGATTTAGTACTCTATTGATCTAAAGAAGTCCTGCCCTGACTTAAAACCAAGCAAAACCACACCAAACCTAAACAACCACAAAAAGATCCACAAAAACAAACAACCCCCCCCCCAAATAAAAAACCCTCACCACCCACAATTGGACTCACTCAATATTTTAAGTATTATCCAGTTAAGCATATCTGGCATTCATGTTTACATGGGGGCTGAAAGGAATTTCTAAAAGTCATCAACTAAGAAATCAAATTTCAATCTTTGTTTTCAGAAATACCACAGGTGCTTAACAGCATAAAGCATTTAATGAAAAACAGCCCTCCTCAGTATTCTAACAATTAAATTGAGGACTAATGTATTTGTAAATATCTTTCTTATTTTGTTAGCAAAATATATTATGTATTGTTACATGTTTCCACCGACATTAATTACCCTGTATAGGTGAATAGATATTGTTTCACCCATTTCACAGAATCACAGAATATGCTGAGTTGGAAGGGACCCACAAGGACCATCAAAGTCCAACTCCTAGCCCTGCATAGGACATCCCCATGAATCACACTGTGTGCCTGAGAGCATTGTCCAAATGCTTCTTGAACTCTGTCAGGCTTGGTGCTGTGACCACTTCCCTGGGGAGCCTGTTTTAGTACCCAACCACCCTCTGGGTGAAGAACCTTTTCCTAATATCTAATGTAAATCTCCCTCCCCTGACACAGCTTCATGCCATTCCCTCAGGTCCTGTCACTGGTCACCACAGAGAAGAGATCAGTGCCTGCCCCTCCACTTCCCCTTGTGAGGAAGTTGCAGACTGTGATGAGGTCTCCCCTCAGTCTCCTCTGTTCCAGGCTGAACAGACCAAGTGACCTCAGCCGCTCCTCATATGGCTTCCCCTCAAGGCCCTTCATCATCTTCGTAGCTCTCCTTTGGATGCTTTCTAATAGCTATATCTTTCTTATATTGTGGTGCCCAAAACTGCACACAATATTCAAGGTGAGGCCACACCGCTGCAGAGTGAGACAATCACCTCTCTTGACCAGTTGGCGATGCTTTGCCTGATGCACTCCAGGACACAGTTGGCCCTCCTGGCTGCCAGGGCACCCTGCTGACTCATATTCAACTTGCCATCAGCCAGGACCCCCAGGTCCCTTTCCGTAGTGCTGTTCTCCATCCTCTTGCTCCCCAGTCTGTCTGTACATCCAAGGTTGCCCCAGGTGCAGAATCCAGCACTTTCCCTTGTTGAACTTCATACTTGCCCAGCCCTCTAATTTGTCGAGGTCTCTCTGCCCTCAAGGGAGTCAACAGCTCCTCCCAGTTTTGTATTGTCTGCAAACTTACTTAGTATCCCTTCAAGTTCTGCATCCAAGTAATTTATGAACATGTTAAGAGCACTGGGCCTAAGATGGAGCCCTGAGGAACCCCACTAGTGACCAGTCGCCAGCCTGATGGTAACCCCATTTACTATAACCCTTTGCACCTGACCAGTGAGCCAGTTACCCATTGCATGATGTGTGAATGATATAAGAATGAAGAAAGGATGAATAGGTAAAGAAGAACAAAGACAATAGCATTTATAAAGGAAAGTATAATTAAGGAAAGAGAGAGGGAACGGAGCAATACCTTGAACTGTGAAAGCAACTCATCTCCTACAGTCAGCGGGCCTGGTTCATTTTCTCGAGTTTCAGCCCTCTTCAGGATTTCATCTATATCCATTTCCTGAAACAGAAGTTTCTCTTTACAACAAAAGAATTCATGTTTCTCTGTCCATGAAGAGTAGATGCACTGTTCCACTTACCTGAGGCTCCTCTTCTTCCCCTACAGGTTCTTTAAAAAGTTCCTCAGCACCGAACTTCAAAATTGCTGACAGCTCTTCCTTATTAAAAGGTGTTGAGCTGAAATACAGAAAGTTTCAGGTAAACACTTTATCTTAGTGATTTGTTTCAAATTACTATAACCATGAGTCAAACTTCCTTTTGTTTTAAAACCTATATTTAATATGTAAAAAAAAAATTTACAAAGACAATATACTTTCAGTCTTTACTTACATAACTGCTTACCACATATTTTTTGCCTTTTATTAACCAAGTGAAATGACTTGTATTTTTATTCAAATAGTCAGGTATACTTAAGCATAAGGTAATATGAAAGAATAAACAAATATACCTGGAGGGAGTAGAGCCTGTATGTAGTATGGTTTTCCCTGTAGTATCCATTCTCTGAATTACTAAGTGATCTAACACCATCTTTTTCTTGGCTCTTTCAAGAATATCTTCTTCTACTGATCCTTTTGTGACTAGCCGATAAATATTAACCTATGCATATTATAAAAAAGGGTTTATTTACCTGCTCCCAAATTACACATGAAAAAATATTCAGATGAAGTTAACAAAAAAACCTTGAGCAACAACAGGGAGAAATATTAGCCATGATTACAAATTTTCTAAATCTTATTGAACTAGTATTGCATATATGAAACCAGTCAATCATGTTATCACAGTCTCTACAGAAATCATTTTAAAAAATAAAAGAAAGAAATTCTTAGACCTCTCCTCTTTAAACTTCTATGATTAAGCACAAGCAGGGCCACAAGGAAATGTGTTATGACTGAACACTACTTGAAGTCTTCTGCAAGAAAGAAACCCAAAGAGAACTACAAAGTATTAAACGAAGTAAAATGGATGGGCCTGAAGTACAGCAGTTACTTTCTAGAATGACACAATGCCAATCAACATGGGACAAGTCCACAAATCCTCTCCCTACCCATATACTACAGCTACTGTGCAATCTCTCTGTATAGGGAGACTTAAAAAAAAATTAAAAGGTAAAACAGGAATATTAACATTTTTAGACATTTTTGGCAAGTATTAGTTATTCTCAAAATATATGAGGACTGCGATGGCCCAAACAGACAGCTTATGGCTAACATAATGAAACCCTCCTTCAGGTTTGAAGCTTAAAAGACAAGTGTGCACACCTGTTTCTTCTGTCCAATCCTATGAGCTCTAGCCTGTGCCTGCAGATCATTCTGTGGATTCCAATCAGAATCAAATATAACTACAGTGTCAGCAGATGCCAAATTTATACCTAATCCTCCAGCTCTGGTAGACAGCAAAAAGCAGAAGTCCTGAAATGATAAAAAAATAAATAGCTTTATAAATATTACCTATAATATCCCTCAAAGAACCAATATGACACTTCTTTATATGCTCTGTGGAGCAGACTGTGAACTCATATACTTCTTTATCATAAATACATATTAGACTTGTAATACAAAAAGTTGTTTGTCATGGCTAGAGCGAGTAGATTGTTATTAGAATAGAATAAACTATTTCAGTTGGAAGGGAACTACAACAATCGTCTAGTCCAATGGCCTGACCCCTTCAGGACTGACCAAAAGTTAAAGCATGTAATTCAGGGCATTGTCCAAATGCCTCTTAAACACTGACAGGCTTGGAGCATCAACAACCTCTCTAGGAGGCCTGTTTCAGGGTTGACCACACTCTCCATAAAAAAATTGTTCCTAATGTAAAGTCTGGACCTCCTCTGGGACAGCTTTGAACCATTCCCATGCATCATTCCCATGCGTCCTGCCACTGGATACTAGGGAGAAGAGTTCAGCACCTCTCTCTCCACTTCCCCTCCTCAGGAAGCTGCAGAGAGCAATGAGGTCACCCCTCAGCCTCCTTTTCCCCAAACTAGACAGAGCCGGAGTCCTCAGCTGCTCCTCACAGGACATGCCTTCCAGCCCTTTCACCAGTTTTGTTGCCCTCCTCTGGATGCATTCAAGGAACTTCACATCCTTCTTAAATTGTGGGGCCCAGAACTGCACACAGTACTCAAGGTAAAGCCACACCAACACTGAATACAGCAGGATAATCACCTCTTTTGACTGCCTGGATATGCTGCATTTGCTGCACTCCAGAATGCAGTTTGGCCTATTGGCTGTCAGGTTCCACTGCTGACTCATACGGAGCCTGCTGTCAACCAGGACCCCCGGATCCCTTTCTGCAGGGCTACTCTCCAACCACTCCTCTCCCAATTTATATTTGTGTCTAGCATTACAATGTCCTGGGTGCAGAATCTGGTATTTCTTCTTGTTAGATATCGTGCCATTAATGATTGCCCAATGCTCCAACCTATCTAGAACCCTCCCTCTGCAAGGCCTCTTGTCCTTCAAGAGTCACCAGCCAGATGTAGCTCCATTAAACTACAACCCTTTGAGCTCTGCCCTTCAGTCACTTCTTCACCCAACACACTGTGAACCTGCTCATCCCATAGTTGGACAACTTCTGCAGATGCTGTGAGGGACAGTATGAAAGTCCTTACTAAAATCTAGAAAAACTACATCTACTGCCTCCCCTCCATCTACTAGGTGGGTGACATTATCGTAGAAGATCAAATTAGTTAGACAGGAAACTTTATAAACCCATGTTGACTGTGCCTGATGATTGCATTTCTCTTTAAATGCCTTTCAGTATAATCTTCTTCATAATTTTTCCAGGAACTGAGGTTAAACTAACAGGTCTGTAGTTCTCTGGGTCTTCCCTCATGCCCTTTTGTAGGTTGGAATAACACTGGCTAACTTACAGTCAGCAGGGACTTCCCCAGACTCCCAAGACCTTTGGTAAATGATCGAGAGAGGTCTTGCTGTAACAGCTGCTAGCTCCTTCAATACTCTGGGATGAACCTTGCCAGGACTCATGGACTGATGAACATTCAGCTGATACAGCTGGTCCCTTACAATTTCAGTGTCCACAAATGGAAAGTCACTGTTCCCACACTCATGATTCTCTGACACTGGATCAGGCAGCCCAAGGTCTATCACTATTATTAAAGACTGAGGCTAAAAACACATTGAATGCTTCTGCTTTTACTTCATTCCTATTAGTCAGGTGATCACCTTCATCTTCAACAAGTATTGGTCCAATGTTTTCTTTAGACCAGCTAGTATTTTCTTTAGGTAGCTAAGCACCATGCAGCCACACAATCACTTCTCGCCCACAACCCCAGTGGGACAGAGGAAGGAGAAAGGAAGACTAATAGCAGGGAAACTTGGGGGTCAAGATAAAAATTATTTAGTTGTTGCAGTATATAAAAGAATGCAGAAGTTTTAATGTTGTTAAAGTGAACATGCTTCCAAAATGGTGTTGTGGCTCTTTGTGTAAACCTTTCTCCTTCCCAAGATCCCTCACTGTACTTTGGAATGTCCTGAGAGATACCTGAAAGTCTCCCTATTGGTTGTTAACCCTTTGTTATCATTGATTGTTTGTAAGACCTCCTGAACTCCCAGTGGTCCCTCTGTAATCCCCCCAAGAGGTATTTAAGCAATTACCAGAACAATAAACTCTCTCTCTACCTGCTCACCCTGCCAGCTGCTTGTCTCCTGGTCTCTCTGGGGGCCCTGGAGACCTCGTGGGGTGAAGGAGGGGGAGGGCACGCTCCCCCCCGGAGCAAGGGGTAAAAAGAAAAGCCTCTTGCCTGGGGTTTCCCCTCCCTATCTACCCTCAACGTTCGTCATTTAGTAAGTAAAGGAGAAGTGGAAAAAGAGAAAGAAAATGGAACAAGTGATGCAAATACAATCTCTCACCACCTTACCATGGGCAGGACTGATGCCCAGCCAATTCCCAAGCAAAAGATGGCTAACCTCCCTAAACCCCATTCTCTACTTTTTTATTGCTGAGCAGGATGTTATACGGCATGGAATATCTCTTTAGTTAGTTCAGGTCATCTGCCTGGTTATGACCCTTCCCAACCTCTTGTGCACCATCCCATCTATTCACTGGAGGGGCAGAGTGAGAAACAGAGAAGGCCTTGATACTATGTAAACACTGTTCAGCAACAGCTAACACTGTTAGCATTGTTTCATCACAAATCTAAAACACAGCACCATATGAGCTGCTATGCAGACAATTAACTCCAGTCCAGCCAGACCTTGTATAAGTCAAAAGCAAAGTGATATCAACTTCTCTTGCAAAGTTATTGGCTTCTCCATGGTTTAAAGGAAGCAGCATCCTGGAAGATGAAAAAAAGCCACTTGGGGAGAAAAAAAACAAGCAAAACACTGGCTAAAAATACAAACCCCCTTGTTGTTAAAGCCTCATGTGTGCCCAAGTCCCTCTGTTTTTTTGTAAAGGAAACTAAAGTGTTTTGCATGGGTCAGTGCTCTTCAACATATTCGTAAACAATGGGAAGATGAGATGAGTAATGAGGTGACAAAGTTTGCAGATGATATGGAGTTATTCAGGGACAACTGCAAGGGACTACAGAAGGATCTTATGAGACAGGCAATAAAAAAGCACATGAAACTAAAGTGAAATAGGAAATAAATTTGAGTTTCAAGTACAGTCAAAGGTAATAGAAGCCATTACTACTCAGGAATGAGTCTTTGGGGTTGTAGATATTTCCATGAATATCTTAGCTCAGTTTAGCAGGTAACAATTTTTTTGCTGCACAACTTCATAGTTTGCCTTCATTCTTGAATGCCATGTGAAATTTGGATCCCCCTTCATCTTAAAAACTTTACAGTACAACTACAAGGATTCCATAAAAAGGCAATTATGTCTGTACTAGAAATTTAAAACAGAACTAACTTATGTATTTAAGAAATATCTGAAGTTTATGTTATGAAATGAAGTCCTTCCTCCTCAACCATAGCAGAAACATAAGCTCGGCAGCAACTGACAAATGCTATGCTTCTATTACTGAAGAACCCTGTCAGTGTAGGACAAAAGATCTAAGATTATTAAAAGTATGGTATGGCTTCCATAATAGGAAACCTAAATAAACTAGGAAGCTTAAGTGGTACACAAACAATGGCTCGAAATCAGTTCTTCAGTTTCTTCCAGGGCAAGGAAATCAGAGGCAAAAAATGAAGATAACAGAAGCCAGATTTAAAGCAATTCAAGATAGTTTTTCTTTATGCAAGGATATACACAACTCAATTCTGCCCATTTTCTAAGTAGGTTTTTGAAGTTAAAAGCTTGTGTTAAAGTTCAGTGCTCCTGTAAAAATTGAAGGATTAAGTCCTACACAACAAAAAAAAAAGAAATTTTTCAGTTTCTAAACAGCACTTAAAATTACTTTGATAAAGAGCACTGACAAAAATCTAAAAATATAACTATGTAGTTAGTTATAAACACCATTTTCATAAATTCTGTGTTTCTTGTTGAACCTGCTCTTAGCTTTTAAGTTTTTTTTGCTTGTTTCGAGGGATTTTTTTGGTTGCCTTTTTTTTGTTTGTTTGTTAAGAGTTGTAAACCTTATAGTCTCTGCAAAAGCAATGGAATTTCAACAGAATACATCCCTCACTTTATCTTTAGTTTTTGTGCAATATTTGTTATATTTCCTGTGGGAAAAAAAATAAAGCTGAGTAGATTAAAAAAAAACAACCACCCACTAATACCATACCTCTGAGCCTTCTGCATTAAAATGATCCAATGCTTGTTTCCTCAATTCCCCTTTTATTGATCCATCAAGTCTCTAAAGAGTAATAATACAGTTAATAATACAGTTAAAACAGAACTCCTACCATATTCTATTCAGAGCAACTTGAATTTTCAATTGCCAAAATAATTGGGGAGGGGAATAAAAGTAATGTAACACTTCCAACTAGTCAGTTTAATTTCAAAATACTATTAAGCATATAGTAATTGCTAGTCTTTAACTGTACAAAAAAATTAAACTTCCATAAGTCTTTCTACAAAAAGGACACTTTTAAAAAGATAAAATGGTAAAGATAAAGGCTTCTTGGCTACTACCAGCAAAAGTCTTACCTGAAAGGGAAACTGACGATACTTCAAATACTCTGCTAGGATGTCTAGCATCCTCACCATCTGAGAGAAAATCAGTACTCTGTTGCCACGTTCTCGTAGGCGAATTAGTAGCTTGTCAAGAAGGATTAGTTTCCCACTGCTACGTATTAAATGCTACAAGACAAGAAAACGTGTACCACAAAATAAGTTCACCTCAACCCTAACATACACTGCAGATGGTTAGACACTCATTACCTGAACATGAAAGTTTTATAAGGATTTAGTCAATCCTGATCTTGTAAAAACTCATTATAAAAGCATTAAGCTCTCTAACTGAAATCAACAGGACTAGCATGTTTTTCAAATAAATGCATTTCCCAGCTCTGGCTTATAAAACAGCATCTTAACATTTCATTAAAATGTTAAGCAAATATACTGTGCTATGAGTTATAGCAGTTACAGTGTAGACTCAAATTCTCTTCTACCAAATAAACAACGAGAGTACCTGAGTACTACTTGCTCCTCACTTTCTGTCTTTTGAACAGACCTAAACATTGCTACTTGATCCTCTAAGTATTTTTAAACAATGCCTAATCAGTCAAGTTTTTCCGGCAATATAAAAGTGAGAGGAATCCTGTTAGTAGAAGTCAACATGCTTTAGCTAGGTTACAATGTTCAGCCTTCTCAGCTCCAGTGGAAACAACTAGAACAGAAACTAAGGTGCATACTGAATTTAATGTTGAAAACATTAGGTTTCTTTAGCTGAAGAGGTTCAGAATAAAAAACCAGGAATTAGGTGCTTTCATTCTTTATGCCAGAAATGAGAAGGATGTATCATTCATAAATAGAGCTAACAAAGATTATTCAGATGAGCCAAGGAAATCATTGCTACAAGTATGCAATTATTAGTAATAATGGCTGAACAGTTCTGATGAGATTATTATAAATTTAAGTAGAGTGTGCTAAATTGCAAATGAAACAAGCTTAGATAAGCATTTTATAATATAAAACAGTTTGTGCAGTGACAGCTTATGATTTAGTAGTTTTGGGAAAGTATTTAAATTATGAACCTAAAGTTTACAGAAAAAAAACCCTGATCTTTAGAAACATTTATGGTGTTATAAACTGTATAAATTATAACAGTGCTTTTATTTGTTGGTGTGGGTCTCAACAGCTTTAGTACAACGATTAGTTAACCTTTCCAAAGAAACTCAAACTATAAACCCACAACACAATCACAGACCATCTTTAGTAGTGATGCTATAATTGCTTTCATTTATAACAACAAAACAACCAGGCAAAGCTTTGGATGTTTATTACTTTTATTTCCTTTCAAATTGGTTGTTTGAAGGCATGCAGAAAACAGTATTTGATTACAAAAAAGCTTAAAGAGATTCTGCAGATTACTTTCTGCTATCACATGGATTGTTGGTGTACTTTTTATTTTTATCATAATTCAAGCCAAGGATATTTTATTTAGTATTGATCTCTCTATTATTCAGTTACAGTTAAGAAACAAACAAAAAGGTAATCATTTCACTTACCTGTAAAACCCAGGATGCACATTTGATAGAGAACTTGGTCTTTCTTAACATAATTTATAAAGAACAAATAAATTGCCAGAAAACTATAAAATTATTGCATTCATATAAGAGATGTAAAATCACTTAAAAATTTTTTTTTAAAAAAAGGTATTACCTGTAAGGCCTCCTGTCTATTATAGAATTCATTATCATCCGGTGGTTTAATGAGGTAGCAATGGTTACAACACTTCTTGAGTTCCATCATAATGTTCAAAAAGCCTGAGGTACTACCTTTTGAACCTTTACTCAGGGCTTTATAATTCCTGGTTAAAATCCACCTATGATATAGAATGTGCACAATTTATAACCATTTGTGGAAATATGAAGGATGTAAGCTCTCAAAATATCAGTTAAAATTGCATTATGAGAACTATTACACCAGTAATTTTCATATAGATATGCCATTAAAAGAGCGGGAATTAAAAAGTGTCATTACTTGTAATATTGTTTCTGCAATGCACTCATTTCCATCCTCAAAATTTGTTCAACCTTAGCAGGTAAAGACTTTTCTACATCTTTTTTAACTCTTCTGAGTAAAAATGGTTCAAGTTCTTTGTGAAGACTTGCATAACCAAACTCTCTCCCTTTGCCGTGCTCCTCTTCAAAAACTTCCCAGGAAGAAAACCTTCAACACAGAAAGAATAAAGGTAAAATAATGACATACCATGAACACAGACACACAAAGACCATAAATATACCAGACATGCACAAACACATATGGACTTCTTCACCACTCCCCTCTGTTTTATTAAATAAGTTTCTGAATTTGCATCTCACAAGAAATTCCAAAAATTTTGTCTGCAAATAGAAGAATGGAAATTAACTAACTTTTGCAGAATGAAAATTCAAAACAAACTACTGAATTTTAATTTCTCCAGTGAAAACCCAACATTTTGCTTTTCTGCATGGGAACATAGGTAGAACATTGCAGAATTCCATTATATTTCTCAAGAGCAGCATGAAAAAATAGTTGTATAGTTGGAGAAAGTGCAAGAGAACAGACCACATACCTTTTACAGCTTGTATGGACTAGCTGAAATGTGATTATCCTCTGGTATGTTCTAACAGACTAAGAGAATGCACTTTGTGATCAAATGAAGAATAGGTGCCAGGCAACAAACTTAGTGGTTTTGTTTGTAAGGTTCTAAAGAAGTCAATGCAATGCATAGCTCTGAAACTAATTGGAGTTACAGTGCTTTGTATTTACAAGATATCTGAAAGGAACATGTGCTCTTATTTATTCCAGATATAAACAGAGGTCAGTATAATGTCAATACAGTAAACCTATTCTATGCAAATCATAAGGGCAAATTGGCTTCCTGAATCATAGAATCACGGAATATCCTGAGTTGGAAGAGACCCACAAAGATCATCGAAGTCCAACTCCCGGCCCTGAACAGGACCACCCCAAGAATCACACCACGTGCTTGAATGAACTACTGGATATTGGGCATTGTGGTATAATCTTGTTTTCATTCATAGTACTAACACAGAAAAGATTACATTCTCAGCCCCATTCTATTTCCCTACAGTAAATCCATGTGATTTTCTCTTTAAATTAAGATGAAACATGTTTTCAGGGTTCTGAGCCATACATCAATCCATCTTTTTTCTGGACTGCTAAAACAGAAAAAGTGACAGTTGCTACCAAAACAGTTTATCAAGAGCAGCATGAAAAATATGTGCATCTATTTTATAAAAAATATTTAAACTATTTCACAATGCAATTCTTTATATCTCTACTGATTCTCCAATCACTATAATATTTGACCATAAGAGACTTGACCACAAAAAAACCCAAAAAAAACCCAACCAACCAAGCAACCAAAACCAAACAACAAAAAAAAAAAAAAACCCAAACCCAACATCAACAAAAAAACCCCTATCACATTCCTTACTTTTCTGGCATGATGAAGTGCAGCAAAGACCAAAGCTCTTTAAGGGAGTTTTGCAGAGGGGTTCCGGTAATAAGAAGACGATGATTAGACTTAAAGTCTATTAAAGTCTTGTACAGAAGGGAATCGTCATTTTTTAAACGATGAGCTTCGTCAACTCCTATAAATATCCAATTCAGACCACCAAGGAATGACTTCAAGAAATTGGGGGGGGGAAGATATTATACAAATTAATATGTTATGCAATTTCTGATATTTTACATGAGGTTATATATATGACATCACTCCTTTTAATAAAAAAGGACACCTACATGTTCTTGGCATTAATTATGGGGTTTATGTTTGCTAGATTCAACAAAAGGCTATGCAGACATCCCAAGACTAAAAAGAAAGTATAAACCAAGTTTATACTTAGGAGGAGGAAGGCAAAAAACTGATCTATAAATTTTCAATTGACAAAAAAAACCCCAATCCACAAAAATCCACTATTGACTCTCTTCAGCATGTACAAACAAATGAAAGTTAACAAGCAGAACTTTATTATAATTATCATATGCTGTTAGGATTAACAATAACTCTATGTACTACCATAACAAAGAGAGTAGTAATATAGATATATGTAATAATGCACACACAAATACAAAGAAAAAACATGGGATTTCAGAGTTCTGAATCACAGGTGTTTGGGGCTAGGGACTGGTTTGTTTCTTCAGTTCCTGGATGACTGTCTAACAGGAAAGTAGAGATTTTGAGATGCAAAGAAATTACTACAGCAATGTGAAGCACAAACAAACTGAAGAAAACCAAGTTTTACCCACTTGATATGGGGGGGAAGGGAGGGGGCAGAAAGTCTCACCACACATACATAAAATCAAAGAGTGCTTAAAGAAAACTTGACCTTCATACTTCCAAGAGGAAAGTTGTCATATTCCCCATCCACTTAACGACCCAGAACCCAAATATATCTGTCAACTCTAAAGGAATTTTACATTCTACAAATTATAATTATCTCCCTGAAGAAGTAAGTGTGATTACCTTATCCTTCAGCAAAATTTCATAAGTTGTTAGAAGTATATTAAATTTTAATCGCTTGGTCTGTGGATGCATCCATTCATGAGTTCTTATCTACAAGAAGAATCAAGCAAACTATAAGCTAGAGAAAAATGGTCTTATTGATCAGGATGACTTCAGGTACTATAGCAATATAGATGTTAAGTGACATACAAGAATCTGATCATGAAAAAGGAACATAACACATGTAGCTTTTTTTTTAAGTTATTAAATGGGGGGGGATGTTTGTTGGGTTTTGTTTGGTTGGGGTTTTTTGTGGATTTCTTTGTATGTGTGTTTTGGTTTTTTTTGTTGTTGTTTTTTAAACTTTAATGGATAATGTTACTTATATTCCTCCTTTCAGGAAACAAATTATGTCTGTCTTAAATGTTTATTTTACTCACCTAAATAATCGCATGACAAAGGACAATTTATTTTCAAATGCAAGGTTGCATTTTTAATCCTTTTTATTACTAAGCAGGAATGAAATTTTTCACATTCATTCATATCAGATTAAAATTTATGCTTTTCATTTGCATTTTAACCACATGCAATTATTCAGTTAATTATTTGCTCATTCCTAATCAAAATATTGGAGATTAGCATAAGACAGGAACATGAAGTGAGTCTTCTTTACTGCTAATTTTTAACAATGATACAAAGAAATACTCACCGTATTTCTGCTAGTTATATCTCCTAAGTAAACCACAGCATTCATCTGAGGAGCCCAAGTTTGAATTTCTCTTTGCCAAGATGTCAAGGTAGAAAGTGGCACGACTAGCAAGAAAGGTCCATACAGTTGATGTTCGTGAAACAGGTAGTTCAGAAAAGAAATTGTTTGTATTGTTTTACCCAGACCCATTTCATCTGCAAGAATACAACTATTTCCTCTAAAAAAAACAAACAAACAAACAAAATTTATAAATGTTTTCAAGTTATAAACAGGAAGACTAATTTAAGACTACTTACTTGCACCACGAGTGAGCAAGCCAGTTCAGTCCATTTAACTGATAATCTCTTAACTCTAAACCTTCATGTCCTCCAATATAAGATGGTTGCTTCTTTAGCGCAACAAACCTCGGTCTCTGTTTTAAAATCTGTCAAAAGCAAATTGAGCATCAGTCCTACTACTAAGTGAAGTTACCAAAATGTCTTCTTATAGAAAAAAAGTAGCAGTAGGATTCTGTTTGGTCACCAAGTCTAGTCTTTATTCATCACAGACATCTCAACCATATAACAATATCCACCCATTTGCAAGCTAAAATTAGTTTGCTAATTTAAATTCCACAACAGAAGTGACATGAACTCATTCACAAAGGTTACTTTTAAAACAAATTAAAGTAATAAACAATTCCATCTTTGAATGGCAATAAAATAAGTAGAAAACAAATACAGAATCATAGAATGGTTTGGGTTGGAAGGGACCTTAAAGATCATCTAGTTCCAATCCCTCTGCCATGGGCAAGGACACCAAAGGCTATTCTTAATAGTAATACTTCCTACATATATAAATATAGCTATCAATATTACTGCTTTGGACAGCATTCAAAAATATTTTATAATATGCATTTTGGATGTATAAAATATAACAGCTTTTTTAAAATTATTGTAACTGTATAAATCCATTGAAACTACACACTCACCTTGAAGTCCTTAAATGGAGTGGTCTTGGATTGGTTTCTGCTAAAATACTCATCAATACATGCCTGAAATTTTTTGGCAATGAGAGCACCGTCTTCCCAGCTACATTCTGAGTAAGGCAGACCTTGCCATTTGCAATAATAATCTGGATAACCAGCTGCTGATTTCTGATTTGAATGAGCTGCAGAAACACACCAGAGATACCAGATCAATATTTTCTTTCTGTATTTTAAGAAAACACTCATTTTAGGGGATAAGACAACATGAACTAGTTTCACAGCAAGGACAATATGACAACTTTTCGTCAAAGATTTTGTTTTGCCTTAAGTTGCTAGGGATATTAATAACCTAAATTTCTTAAATATAAATTCAACATGCAAGTAATAAACCTGTAATATTCTCAACACTGTTTTCCATGTGGAAGTTTGTCACATACCAATTATCCTCTCCACTATTTGATACTGTTTATGTAGATCATCTGTAAGTTCCTGCTGGCAGTTATAATATTCCACGTCTTCTGGAGAAGCATTTTTCAGCCTGAAACGGGAATTTATTTGCAGCACTTACTACATTGTATAGTTCTGAAACTAAGAAAATCTGGCAATTTTAAAGCTCTGAATGTAAGCACCATAGGAATGCTGCTTAGAGAGTTTATTTGAAGAAGTTACAGCTCTGGAATTCCTGCTATAAAAGCGTTGCATCTGGCCTAGGTTGTTCATCCCTGATGACTGAGGAAGCTTATCGAGAAATTACTATCAGCTATAGCTTGTACTAGTCATGCAGATAATTTACAATATCTGTTCTCAACACAGTAGTGTACTTCACATGGTATTTTCACAGAACAGCACTGATGTCTCACTATAAGAATCTATCTTATGAGTAGGAGTCACTAAAATTCCAGCACTATTCATAGATTATATTAAACATACTCATTAACTGGAATACCAAAATCACTAAAATATAAGGATTTTTTTAATTTCTTTGTTCTAAATATAAGGATTTTTTTAATTTCTTGGTTCTGAGGCTTTGACAAAAGTTTGAGCCAAGAAAACTAAATGCTGTAATATTTTGAGTTCTTCAGCCATTCCTGATTTTTTTTTCATCTCTGCAGCAATTACCAAAGAACTCTAATCAAAATAATAATCAATCAATGAGAAAATTAGTAAAAGTTAAGATTTAGAACAAAACCAGAAAATCCACCACCCATCTTCTTAAAATTTCATTTATAACAGACATATTAAAATCTGGGTGCAGAAGCTGCTTCCTTAACAGGCCTGATTTTACAAGATGTGTGAGTATTGTCACTTGCTCAAGTAAAGTTGGTGTGCTCAGAATCTTACAGGACCATAAGGTGTTAGGGAAGCTTCAACTTTAAAGCTTTGTCTTCCTGTTGTACAGACACTTAAAAATGTCTATATTGTTACAAAAAATATGCAACATGGAAATAGTTATAAAAATACTCACCAGCGTTTTGTTTCCTGAACCTTTTTCTTATAGTTGTCCAGTTTCTTCATTCCTTTAACATTTTGTTGCTTCAGTGTTTCCTCAGTTTCCCATGTATTATGGATGTGCGACCAGCCTTTCCATTTAATAAGATACTGTATTTCTCCTAGCTCTTTTGTCTTTTCAAATCCCATATTTGGGTCACCATCTGCCTCAACTGCATAGATGGTGGTTGCAGCACCAGTAGCTAGTAAAGAAACCACACTGTAAGGCTCAATTAAACTTGCACTGCTATAAATTAACTAGCAAAAAAACACTGCAGAAAGCAATTTGTGATGCTCTTGTATGAGGATGCAACTTGATTAATTATATCTGCAATGCTTATGTAACTCTTCTTATTTGAAGAATTATAATGATTCCAAGATTCAGAAAAGCAACCAAAAAACACTGCATCTAACCTATAGTGTCTCAGGTTGGACTTGGCTCCCAGCCAAGTGCCCAGACCCCAGGGACAAAACTTTCCCTCTCGCTCTCATGTAATTGATCGAAAAGATCATGAAAAAGAAAATTAAAAGAATCCAAACCAAACTAAATTTCAAGTGGAAGATTTATATATATATAAAGAAAATTATATACACTATTATACCCACAGGGAACCCCCCAAAAGGGAAAAGGGAAGGGAAAGGGAAAAGGGAAAAAGGGATAAAAAGGGATACAACGCAAACACTTCCCTCAAGAGACACAGTGAACTGCACCAAACAACCGCTGGCACTGTCTGCCTCTCAAGGCCAACCAGATGCACTAGGCCTCACTCCCTCGCCTGGGTAATAAATAATGGCCAGTCTTCGCGAGTGAAGATCCGGGGAAGGATCCTTCCAGCCTGCGCATTGGATTTTTTAGGTGAGACACAGTGTGCGCGGAACTGAGCCCACCCTTTAATCCTAAGGTTCATCTGCCGGGGTCAAGCAAGTTTGGACGGTGGCAGTGAGGTCCTCGGGACATAGATGGATAGCCTACGGGGCTAACGAGCTCCATCTGCCTGGGGATAGACAGCAAAGCTACCTTCACCTTCGGTCTGCTGGAAGAAAGAGAGAGAGAACTTCCTCTCTCTTCTTATTTATACTCTTGCTTAGGTAAAAATCGTATGGAATACTGGGAACATGGCCTTGGTTCCTTGGTTACAACCTGGTCACCAAGGAAGGCCTAGTCTCAAAACCACTACATATAGTATCTCATTTCATGAGAATTTTCTTAGCATTCCTAGTTTTTCTAGTGATCCCCAGAGAATGCCCCACTAACACTCCTTGCTGTCATCTTTGTTATATCCTTCTCACCTCTGAGAATATAACAGATATTTGAAATTATGCTTAATCAGCCTCGAGACTTCAATAGCCTACTATTCAATTACTATGGATGCCATAAATGCAGTTCACAGAATCAAAGAATGGTTGAGATTGGATGGGACTTCTGGAGGTCATCTAGTCCAACCTCTATGCTCAAACAAGGTCACCTAGAGTCAGTTGCCCAAGACCATGTCCAGATGGTTTCTGAATATCTCCAAAGAGGGAAACTCCACCACCTCTCTGAATAACTCCAACATACAAACTGGTAACAACAAATGATTAGAAGGATGAGGTACTCAACTTTTTTGCCTCATTCAAGGCAGGAACTGGGGAAGCAAAGTCCCTACCATTGTAAGTGAAGACCAGGTTCAAGACCACCTGAGGAATCTGAACATACATAAGTCTATGGGACCTGATGAGATGCATCCCAGAGTCCTGAGGCAATTGGCTGATGTAGTTGCCAAGACCCTTTAAGTGATATTTGTAAAGTCACGGCAGTCAGAAGTCACAGGTGACTGGAAAAAAGGAAACATTGTACCCGTCTTTATAAAGGGTAGGAAGGAGGACCCTGGGAACTACCGACCTGTCAGCCTCACCTCTGTGCCTGGGAAGATCATGGAACAGATCCTCCTAGAAGCCATGCTAAGGCACATGGAGGACAGGGCGGTGATTCAAGACAGTCAGAAGGGTTTCACTGTCATGGGTCTACTGACCAGGCCCCCATGGGGCTGAAAATAGTTTTTTCCAGGTGGATTTCCAGAGCAAAGCCAATCAAAAGTTTTAGTAACGCCTCTGTCAATTACATATTTAAGAAAACGGAAGAGAAGGTTGTTGCACAGATGAAATTAAAAACCATGTAGGGGAAGGCAGCAGGCCCCAGGTGGGCCAGGCCTCCCTCCTCCCCCGGCCCTGGGTTGGGGACAGGTGTGGCACTGAAACCCCCCTGACCGAGACATGTAAGAGAGTGGAGGAAAAACTCTAAAGGAAGACTGCCTGGATGAGAAATAGTGCAGAAGGAATTTCAGGCAGAGATAGTGCAGCCTCCAAGGTCAAAGCTGGTAGCTGGAGAAGAGAGAAGAGAAGCTCAAAGGGGGAGCTCCTTTTCCCCCCCCTCTCTCTCTTTCTCTCCCTTCAGCAGGGAAAAGACTGAAAACTAAAAAACCCCTGCCGTCTGTAGAAGATTGTTGGGGAGCAGAGACCCTCCTCTGCAGCTCATGAAGGAGCCCATGCCAAAGTAGAGGAGTGCATGAAGAAGATGTGACTCTGTGGGAGGTCTAAGATGAAACAGAGTCTTGCTGGAGACCTGTGGCCTATGGAGAGACAAACCTACACTGGAGTTGTCCCGGGTAGGATCTTATGATCCCAGTGAGGGATCCATGCTGGTGCAGCTGAATTTGTGACCCTAAGGGACAGCAGAGAATGGAAGAACTGTTGCCCGAAGGCGGACTCACACTAGAGAGGTCCATTAAGAACTGTCTCTCATGAGGAGGGACCCCACAAGAAACAGGGGTGGACTCAAAAGCCATTACCCCTTGTATCTGTGGTGAAGGTCATGGTAAGGCAAGCGTCCCCTTGCAGTCCATGTGTGATGGTTTTGATCTAGGCCTTCCTAGTGACCAGTTTGTAACCAAGGAAGTGGCCAAGTACCCAGTATTCCATACGATTTTTACGTAAACCAGGGTATAAATAAGTTAGAGATTAGAGACCTCACTCTCTTCCGGCGAGGTTTGGGAACAGTGGGTCCTTGCGTTGGTCTCGCTTATCTAAAGCTGAGGCCTGCAGCGACCGCTGTCCTGCCACGTGGGGGTTCGGAGAGTGCTGGTTGTGTCTGCCAATCCTGCTTTTCTAAGGGAAGTGGTGAGATCTGTTTTGTTAGTTATTAATATAGTTCTTGAGTTTGATTGGGTATACCTGTTCAGTGTCCCTTTTGTTCCCTTTTGTCCCTTTTTTCCCCTTTCCCTATCCCTTCAGGGGGTGGATCCCCTTTTACTGTGTATATAGCATCTTAACTGTATATAACTGTAATTTATGTAAATATATATATATTTTTATATAAGCAGCTTGACTTTGGGTTCTTTAATTTTTTTATAGTTTTTTTTCCTTTGCCCTAAGAGAAGAAGGGAGGGGAGAAGGGGACTGCTGTCGTGACTTTCGAGCATTTGGCAGGGAACCAGGTCCAAACTATCACACCATGGAAGACCCCATAGGGCCTGGGTAACTGCCAGCCTCTGGTCTTAGCCCAGGAGGGGGTAGGCCCAGCCCTGACGACGTAGAAGAGAGAGAGAGAGAGAGAGAGAGAGAGAGAGAGAGTGTGTTCCAGCTGGGACGAATCAGAGTTGTCATCCTAGAGATAATAGAAGAAGAACCTTCAAGTGCTGCAAAATTATTTAGAAGACCTGTAGCTCTGGAAATGGAACAGAGACTGCTTCTCTTCCTAAACTGATACAAGGGGAGAGGGATACTTCTATAAATACATAGCACTTTTGCCTAGTTAGAATTGATATATATAGAGAGTTCTTTAGTTTTTATCTTACTAGTAATAAATCCTAATATTATTCTCCCCAATCAGATCTCTTTTGTCTGCATAAACCTTCTCTCAACTTATAGCAATTGTGTGGGGGGTGAGAGAAAATTGGTCCAGAGCAAACCCATGACATTCACCAAGGGCAAGTCCTGCCTGACAAATCTAGTGGCCTTCTATAATGGAGTGACTCCATCAGTGGACAAGGGAAGGGCTACAGATGTCATCTGTCTGGACTTCTGTAAAGCCTTTAACATGGTCCCCTACAATATCCTTCTCTCTAAATTGATGGACTATTTCGTGGATAAGGAATTGGCTCAATGTCCCAATGGAGATCAGTGATGTGTGGTGTCCCTCAGGGGTCCATATTGAGACCAGTGTGGACAACAGGTCAAGGGAGGTGATTCTGCCCCTCTACTCCGTGCTGGTGAGACCCCACCTGGATTAATGCATCCAGCTCTGGAGTCCTCAATATAAGAAATACATGGACCTGTTGGAGCATGTCCAGAAGAGAGCCATGAAAATTATCAGAGGGCTGGAGCACCTATCCTATGAGGAAAGGTTGAGAGAGTTGGGGTTGTTCAGTGTGGACTCCACCTTATTGTAGTCTTTCAATACTTAAAGGGGGCTTATAAAAAAGATGGAGACAAACTTTTTATTAGGGTGTTCTGGTTTTGGCTAGAATAGAATTAATTTTATTTATAGTAGCTAGTATGGGGCTATGTTTTGAATTTGTGCTGGAAACAGTGTTGATAATTCATGGATGTTTTAGTTATTGCTGAGCAGTGCTTACACAGAGTCAAGGCCTTTTCTGCTTCTCACACCACCCCACCAGCGAGTAGGTTGAGGGTGCACAAGAAGTTGGGAGAGGAGGCTTGTCTTCCCAAGTAACTGTTATGCATGATGTGGCCCTGCTCTCCTGGAGATGGCTGAATACCTGCCTGTCAATGGAAAGTAGTGAATGAATTGTTTGTTTTACTTTGCTTGAAGATGTCACTGCTCATTGCAGGGGGATTGGAGTAGATATCCTTTAAAGGTCCCTTCCGACCAAAACCATTCTATGATTTTGCTTTCCTCCAGTTCTCAGGCAATTCTCCCAGTTGCCATGATCAATCAAAGATTATTGAGACTGGCCTTGCAGAGACATCTGCCAGCTCACTCAGTACTTGTGGGTGCATTCCATTAGGGCCCATGGAGTTATGTATGTCCAGTTTGCCTAAGTATTCCCTGACATGATCCTCTTCCACCAAGGGTACGTATTCCTTGCTCCAAACTTTCCCCTCAATCTCAAAGACCAAGGATTCCTGAAGACCGGTCTTGATAGTAAAGACTGAGATGAAGAAGGCATTCAGTACCTCATTCTTTTTCATGTCCTGTGTTATCAGGACCCTGCCCCATTCAGCAGTATGCCCATATTTTCCCTAGTCTTCCTTTTGTCACCTATATAGAGGCCTTTCTTGCTGCCCTTGACAACCCTAGCCAGATTCAATTCCAAGTGGACTTTGGCTTTCCTAACTGTGTCTCTGCATGCTTGGAGAGAGTCTCTGTATTCCTCCCAGGTTACCGGTCCCTGCTTCCACCTTCCATATATCTCCTTTTTGGTTTTGAGTTTTGCCAAGAGCTCCTTGTTTATCTATGCAGGCCTACAGGCAATTTTGCCTGACTTCTTGCTCTTTGGGACGGGCTGTTCTTGAACTATTTCTCCCTAAACTCATTTTACTACTACCCCTCCATCTTTGGAATCTTATGTGGGGTAACTTTTAATTAAATAGTCAGTATTACAGCTGAAGCACACTAGCAGCAAGAAACAGGCTCACTTCCGTGAGAACAGCCAAATAAGGAAGTAGACCTAACCAGATGCAGGGGACAGATATAGCAACAGAGCGTGGCAATAGTAAAGGGCATGCAAAATATAAGAAGCATAGTCCAAAAGGCTTTTAACACAGCAGTGACACTGTGCCTTAGAGTAAGGGGTTAGAGTAAGAATACACTGGAAAAAAGAAAGTAACGCACAAGCAGGACACTACATCCCATCAGTTGCTGGAAATATGACACTCCTACCATCATTCATAAAATTACTTTTAGAAGTGCACATGCAAGCATGCCACTGAAATTTTATATTCCACCATCCATTGTAATGTATTGGGACTATTTGGAAATAAATAACTGAAATCACAACCTCAATGGTTCAGCCTTCCCAACATCATCCTTCATCATTCAGACTACTGGTTAGCTCTCCTATTCATTCCACTTTTTCTTCACCCTCCTGTATACAGTTTAAACTTATCAATAAACTGTACAAATAGTGATGTACAGTATGTTATGCATTTATGTGATATGGAGCTATATTCCACTTCATTTTTTCTTTTTGCATTACTTAAGAACTTAAGTTACTTATGTTTATCTATGTTTTATTTTATAAGGTTTACAAAAGAAATATCCTTATGAATATGAAAAATAAAATAAGATTACTTTCCAGTATTTTAAATGTTCTTTACAAACATCGTGGGTTACCTACAGCTGAGAACAATTACTGTTTACATTGCACCACAATTCAGTGCAGCATCTTAAGAACACTGAAAAAAATTACCTCCTTTTCGGCCAATTCGACTATTCATAAACTTCTCTATAGTTTCAAATTCATCTTCTTCAGTCTGTGGGACATCTTCTCCACAAACTTCCAACAACTCATCAGAATCTGTCTTGGTTTCTTCAGTTTCTTTGTAACTAACATTGACTGTTGCCTGGCGACGAGATACTCTCTTGTCGTAGTCATCATCATCTGATGAATCAGGCTGCCTCTTTTTCTGTCCTGCAATTTTTTTGCTGCTTTTTGGCTCAATTCTTGAAGACAATAAGATACAACACAACAGTGGGGTTTCAACATGGACAACTAAAAGCCTTCTGTATTTGTTTCTGAATACATGTATTTCATGACTGCTCAGTTACACCACTTTCAGTTGGAGCAGACAGGAAAAAGGCATTCAGCACAAACCACCGGTATGATAACATCTTTTGTAGATTAAAAAGAGTCTTCAAGTTCTGTAATAAATATTAATGTTTTCATTTGGCTGTATAGTAGTACAGTACTTGATTACGAATTAGAAATAGTACCAGAGTATCTAAAATGCAAGACTTCTTACCTGCTTGGAGGTTTCCGGCTTTTGACCTTGTTTTTTGGTTCATAGTCAGATTCACTATCTTCACAACTGTTTTTCTCTCTATCTTCATCTGATTCAGAATCAGAACTAGTTCCTGACACTGACCCTGACCCAGACATTTGCCAGTCTTCACTGTACAAACAAAACAGTAACTCACATTAGTTTTTGGGGGAGGTTGTTTTTTTTTTTTAAATCAAGCATTCACCACAGGTTTGTCGCTTTAATTTCAATATTCCTCACAGAAATAAAATTGATATAATATTCATTTCAGCTGGAATGACAGAAAATTATCATGGATGGATAACAGGTAAAAATATCCAGTGGTTTCAAAGGGAATTTAATTAAGTTTTCTGTTATCAAGAGACAGATGAAATAAACAAATCAAACCAAAAATCTGGATTTCTGTATAAATTGCAGCTTTAATAATGGAGTTATTTTGATATGAATAAACCCAACGTCCTTAACAAGACTTTAGATGGAAAGATAAATGTTTACTGGAACTTACCTATGCTCAAGTAATAAACCCCATAACATTATATTTTGCAAAATCCAAAATTCTCTAATAGTTATGTTCCCTGTGCTTCATGTGAATAATTAGCAACTTCAGCACAGGAACAAAAAATAATACAGAATCAGATAGAGAAACACACAGAAAGACTTCAACCATGGCAATCTGAGAGGCACTGGCTCCCAAAAGCCCCCACAGAGCTTCCAAATCAGTGCTTCACACCTATGCAAGATACTATGAGTAAACCACTTGTGACTCCCAGTGGCCGTATCTCTGTTCTCCTGCTTAGCTGAGATCTACTTTGCAACAGGAAAGATGTACCCACTGATCAACAGTATCTTACCTCAGACTCTGTTTGTACAGAGAAATTTAATCTTAGAAGCTTGGGTAGGGGTGGAAGAAAATACTGGCATGCATTCTTGAAAGGTTGCTAAATCTTTATACCACTATCTATTACCAGGTTTAGGGGTCTTTGACCAAGATGCTCAAACAGTACTAATGTCCTTCAAAAGTGAAATATTACTCAAAGACCTTTTCATTACATTTCAGATCAGGAAACCTAAGAATCAGGGCTTTGACATTTCTTTCAATTAAATATGCAGTGGTCCTAGAAATTATGTTTTCATTGTGGTCAATACATCTGTGTGTTGTAGAAATACTATAGAATCATCTGTCTCCTTAAACGATTTTTTTCTGTAAGCTGTAAATTAAAAAACACCCAAACAACAACCCCTCCCTCCAATAAAAACAAAAAAACCCCACCCCAAACCAACCAACTCCACCATCTCTATGCAAATCCACTACCTGTATTTATTTGGAGATATAGACAACATATAAAACACCATACTCTATAGGGCTTGGATCCTGTACTAAGTGTATATATATAGAAATCAGCTCTGCATGTCAGATAACAACTTCAAACATACTTGTTCAAAATAGGCATAAATCAAAATTGAAGCACTGGATACATGAGGTTATTTGGTTACTACTTTCTAAACTATCTTTCCTGTAACAGAGTATGTTACTAGGTTTAATCACATTCTTAAGTAACAAAAGACTGTGAATGACAATTCATCACTAAAGAAGTACTATTTTGCATAGCAGGCTTTTTTGCCTCCTCCCCCCCATCCAATTTCTTGAAAATATTATATTGGTAACTTTGAATATTGAGAAGATTCAATTAACTGGAGAAGAGGAATAAGAAAACAATTCCATTTCTATATACTGTTCATTAAAAAAATCCAAAGCAACACAACAACAACCAAACAAACCCCACAAAATCACAAACAAAACCACCCCCTCCCCCCACAAGTCACTACCGATGAGAAGGTATAACCTTTTTCACAAACTATTTCATCTACAGCGTAAAACCAGCTCAATTTCAACTTGGCTTTATTGACTAGCTGAGATGATTTATTACTGTCAAACCTGTAATAATTTTGGGGGAAAGGTTGCCTAAGTGTTTAAAAATTTGGCATTAACTATGGGATTCCAACTCAAATTTTATCTAAGACAACCTAATTAAGTTATTTCCTATTTCTTCAATAATTTTCAGAGAGGACCTTCAGCTCAAAAATATGCCACAAATAAGACTACTTTAAAAATAAAATGTGCTGATGAATGTTTTCCAATAACACTGTAGGTAATACAGTCTCTTTTGCTCAGAAATGAATAGTGATATCATAGAATCATAGAATAATTTATGTTGGAAAAGACCTCTAAGATCTTATATATGTTCCTTTGAGAGTATTTATTTTAAAATATTTCAAAACGTTAATCAAAATTGAGAAGCCCAAGATTATGTATTTCAAGTGCAGAGAAATAAAGCCTGGGTAATTATAAGCATTATGTCACCATAACAAAAAATTATATTATTTATGAAAAATATCTTACTCTCTATGTTTTTTCTTCTTGGTTTCTCTGAAAGAGTCATCTGCAGAGTCTTCACTGTTTGATGAATCCTGCAGATGAAGAAAAGAATATATACAATTCATTGACACAAGAAGAATGAAGTATTTTTAGTATTAAAAAGATAATTCAGCTTCCACTTTCAAACTGAAATCATATTCTTCATGTCTCATCCTCTTAACCCACCTCAGTGTACCCACTGATATCAGATAAGATCAGGATTGCTATTGATTTCATATTTCTCCACTTACAAACATACCATGTCAGCAGAACTCTAGGAAACACTACAAAAAAACTGTCTTAAAATAAAACCATTGTGCCTACATATAATCATAGTTTAGACTGCTGTGAGTTAATAAATCAAGATGAAGGTTCTATCAAAAGCTTAATAAAACCTCTTGCCCTTGGAGAGCTGTCTCACCTTTCATATCCTCTGACATTTAAACACCACTAAGAAAATTTTTAGAATAGCATGTATTATTCTTCTCTCTCCACTTCTAAACAAAAATTAATAAATAAATTGATGAACCCTCTTAAAATTATTTTCCTAAAACCAAACTCATAGAGATTAAATTCAGATAATTTTAACACTGAAAAAGAGTCTTCAGGAAAAGAGTACTTAGCAACAGTTATAAATTAATATTTTAACTATCTATAATTGTTTTGTTTGGTTTTAATGATGAGCAGCTAGATCTGCCTAAAAAAAAAAGACACACAGAGTAATGATGACTTGCGATTACAATGCTTACTATTTCTAATTCACAGTCACTAGTGTCCTTAAAAGATATTCATACAGCACAAAGTCAACTTTTCTTTAGGCTAGGGTTTAGGTTTTAAAAATCTCTAAAATTGGAGTATGGTTCTTAAAAGACAAGAATTCTTTTATAGTTGTTACAAAAGTTGCAAAAATGTAGCTTTCTACTCTGTATAGTGTTTTTGAAAACTCCAGTAGCTACCTTTATATAGAAACAATAGTAGAAAAAAAACTTTTAGTATTTTTAACTGTCTTTATAGAACTCAGAAGGAAGAAATACAATGAAAGTTAATACAATGTGACTTGAAAAATTTGCCCATACATCACAAAATATCTAGCTTAAGATATCAATCCAAACTGCTACCATTTTGGCACAACTCACCTGAAAACATGCAACTAAATATTCCCCCCATGTTTCCTTATAAATATGTCAGTTATTTGAACATTACTTTTATAGACTAAAACCAGACTTGTTAAACACAGAGAGAACAGAACTTAGCTCTACATAATTTTATTCTAACCTATGGAGTAATGAGAAATGCGTTTTTACATTTTATTTACTAACTTATATGTTATTCACCTCTTCTGAACCACTGTCTGATGAGGCTGCCTTCTGCTGTTGTTGCTTCTTGAGCACTGTTGATCTCTGCACAGCAAGGATACTTGGACTGGACTTCCAAAACTGAATTGGAATTCAGATACAAGAGTCATTTAAACCTATTGAAACTTTAAAGTTTGCCACATACTTACCTGAACAGCATCACTACTAAGATAAATCTCAATTTTATCATTAATAAAAAACTCACTACAAAATACCACATGCATTAACAATATTGGTATTTTATAGTAAGACTTCTGTAGAAAGGAATGTTATATAAGAATTGTCAGCACAATTTTTACAGTAAATATAACAATAGTTGTGCAGGTCTCTATTATTAAAACAGTTTTGGGTTTTTTTTAAGTAAAAACTGATCTAGATAAGTCCTTCCAGGCCACTTTGCTGATATATTTTTGCTTCATATGGGAATACTGAAGTACACACAATCATAGAATATCTCAAGTTGGAAGGGACCCATAAGGAGCATTGAGTCCAACTCCCTCCTCCTCGCAGGAGTCATATGACTAAGAGTGCTGTCCAGATGCTCCTTGAACTCTGACAGATTTGGTGCCATGATCACTTCCCCAGGGAGCCTGTTCCAGTGATCAACCACCCTCTCAGTGAAGAA